GGGCTATAGTGCAGTGGTGTCATCACAGCTCACTGTGGCCTCCAACTCCTGGGCTCAAGCGATCCTCCTACCACAGCCTCTCTAGTAGCTGGGACTATAGGTGCACACCACCAGGCCTGGCTGATTTTTCTGTTTTTAGTAGAGACGGGGTCTCGCTCTTGCTCAGGCTGGTCTGGAACTCCTGAGCTCAAGTGATCCTCCTGCTTTGGCCTCCCAGAGTGCTGGTATTACAGGTGTGAGCCACCGTGCTGGCTGTCAGTGCTCTTTGGGAAGTATCCCCAGGTTAGGAGATAATGCTGTCATCATCTCTCATGCCTAAGTATCTTGTAATTTTGATCTGTTTGCCTCTTCAACATATAAATTCTCTGGAAATAAATTTTTAATTTTCTGTATATGTAGGAGTTTCTTTTTAAAAACAGCCTTTTTTCTATTTTATTCATTTATCATATTGTGATCAATATAAGAAGATGCTTTATATGAAAAAGCAATTTTTTAAAGTTTCAGATTTTTCATTGTGACCTTTTATGTGGTCAGTTAAAAAAAGTTCCATGATGATTGGAAAGAATGTTCGTTCTCCGTCTGGAGAGTTGTAGACATTTGCTCAGTTGAGATTATGGCTGGTGATTCAAACCTTTCCTGCCCGTTTGCCTGTTAGGCCGGTTGTCTGTGAGAGGCTGGCGTGGGCACCTCCCACTGTGGGTGGATTTGCTCGGGCCCTTGGGGCTCTCCCAGCATTTGCCCTGTGTGTGTCAGAGCTTCATTAAGTATTTACGGACTCCCACCTGCCCTGACTCCATGAGTGGTTTGTTTTATCAATTTGCAGAATCCCTCTTTATGTCTTTTAAACTTTTGTCTGTAATTCTTTCTTATCTAATAAAGACTGCACCAGCTTTTTTCCTCTTGACAACTTCCTGGTATATTTTCCTGACATATAATTAAAACCATTTCTCTTTTTCCTACTAAGAAATATGTAGTTTTTCGTTTGTGTTTAGATAGAGTCTCACTCTGTCACCTAGGCTAGAGCATAGTGGCGTCATTGTAGCTCACTGCAACTTTGAACTTCTGGCCTCAAGAGATCCTCCTGCTCCAGCCTCTCACAGTGCCAGGATTGTGGGTGTGAGTCACGGTGCCCAGCTAAGAAGTATAGTTTTTGGCATTGGTCTGTCTTTCATATTTATAAGTCTAATGTAAATATCTACTTTGGCCAGATGTCATCTCAGGATGTTTTGATAAGTTGTAGAAATTCTGTTAAAACTCAACTGTTTCATATATGCTTTGTTGAAAATAGGCACTAATTGAGAGATGTAGTAATAGCTTACCTTTGGCCTTGGCACAGTTGAGGAAGACTAAAGAGATCTAGTGCCTTTCACATCTGCCCCGAACTCCCAGGAGACTGGTTCCAGGAGTCCTGCAATCGTCTAGGTAGGACCACACCGTCACCCTACTTCTGCCCAACTGTTCCAGGGAAAGATGGACACCTGGCACTGGCCTCAACATGTGTGAAAATAGTTTAGGAAATCTCTCAAAATACTTTATGTGTGAGAAATGATTATTTTGTTCTTCCTGACTCTTTTTTTTTTTTTTTTTTTTTTGAGACAGAGTCTCGCTCTGTTGCTCGGGCTAGAGTGCCGTGGCGTCAGCTTAGCTCACAGCAACCTCAAACTCCTGGGCTCAAACAATCCTTCTGCCTCTGCCTCCTGAGTAGCTGGGACTATAGGCATGCGCCACTATGCCCTGCTAATTTTTTCTATATATCTTTAGTTGGCCAATTAATTTATTTCTATTTTTAGTAGAGATGGGCGTCTCACTCTTGCTCACGCTGGTCTCAAACTCCTGACCTTGAGCCATCCGCCCGCCTGGGCCTCCCAGAGTGCTAGGATTACAGGCATGAGCCACCACGCCCGGCCTCTGACTCTTACTTAGTTATTCTAAACAGTAAATCTACCTTGACAAATACAGGCAAATGTTTTATATTTATGCGTTAGCTGTCAGGATATAGGAAATTTATCAAAATGTGGTTCATCTTAAATTGTATCCTAAAACCTTTTAAAGTTTGGAAAGAAAATTAGAGTATATTTACATGCAGATATAGCTTCTGAGTGTAGCTAGTAGTTGGAAATGGTAGATTGCTTTGGTCAGAATGTCACTTAAAGTGTGGGCAGGTGTAATGTCACAGCCACTCCAGAGGATTCGGAAGTTAAGTCAGTGGCAGTAGAGTGCTTATACTTCTCCTGGACTTGAATTAAATATAAACTTACTAAAACTCAACAATAAAAAGACAACACAATTTAAAAATGGACAAAGGACTTGAATAGACATTGCTGCAGAGAAGATACATAAATGGCCAATGATCACATGAAAAGATGCACTGGGAAATAAAATATTTTATTAGGGAAATAAAAATGAAAACCACAATATCATTTCACACCCCTTAGGATGACTATTATTTAGGGAAAGAAAAAGAAAATAGCGTTGGCAAAATGTGGAGGAATTGGAACCCTGCGTGTTGCTGGTGGGAATGTACGAGCACGCGGCCTCGTGGAAGACTGCGTGCTGGTGCCTCAAAAAGTTAAACACAATTACCGTCTAAGCAGCAATTCACTTCCTGGATAAACCCAAAAGTACTGAAAACAGGGACCCAAGCTGACGTTTGCTCGTGAGTATTGGCAGCAGTGGCTAAAAGGCAGGAGCAGCCCAGGTGTCCGTTGGCAGGTGAGTGGATAAAGAACAGACATGTAAACAGCAGAATCTACTTGGCCATGGAAAGGAAAGACATTCTGACACCTGCTGCAACACGGAACCTCTGAGGACATTACGCAAAGGAAAATAATCCCGTCACAAAGAGTCAGATCCGTGGGGACAAAGGAGATGGTGGGCGCCAGGGGTAGGGGGAGGGTAGTGAGGACCCTGTGTTTGATGGGGACAGAGATGAAAATGTTTTGGAAAAAGTGACGATGGTTGCACAGCACTGCAAATGCACTTGCTGTGCTAAAATGTACACTTACAGATGCTTTAATGTTTAAATGGCAAACTTTGTTAAATATATTTTATCACAATAAAAAAATATAAATCTAGACTTAATTGTGTAGAATGCTATTTTTTTTTTTTAAAAAAAAAAAGCTTGTGGAAATTTCCAAACGTGCAAAAAACGGAGAGAATGATGAACTCCGTGTCCCCATAACTCAGTTTCAGGCATAATTTTATTTCACCCACACTGCCCACCCTCCCACCCGCACTGGATTATTTTAAAGCAATTCCAGACATCTCATTCATATATATATCTCCAAAAAGGGCTGTTTAAAAAGATAACCACATATGTTATAACACAATATCATCATTTTGCCTGAATCAATCAGTCCTTCATATCTATCCCTGTTCTGAAACTGCCCATTGGCTCACAAATGTCTTTTTTTACAGTCAGTTTATTAGAATCAGGATTCAAACACTGCATTTGGCGGATAGCTCTTAAATATCTTTTACTCTCTTACCGATCTATAATAGTTTCTTTTTTCCTTGCCATTTATTTATTGAAAAAGGAATCATTTGTCCTGTAGAGTTTTCTACGTTCTGCATTTTGCGTGTCTGTGGTGGGGGTGAGGGTTTCCTGTAACGGCGACCCATCCTCCTTTTGTGAGCCTGACCCAGACCTTGTCATTGAGACCTTCTGAAAAGTAGGAGCTTTGGGCAGCAGAAGGAGACTCTGTCTCAAAAAAAAACAAAAACGAGTAATGGGGCAAGACCGGCACGATGCTGTGGGCGGAACCAAGCACAGGAGCCGGAGGGGCGGGCGTGGGTGCCCCTGACCTGCACAGGTAAAGGTGGTTAAAATGGTAAACTCATGTCAATGTATATTTTACCACAGTAAAAAAAAGAAAAATGCATGGCTCCTTTTATAATGTGGCCAGCCATTTTGAGAATTTGTTGGAAAAACTAAATAAAAATACATGTATGGTGTCACTGCTATTTGAGAAAAATATTGGAATCCCTGTGTTTATCACATATATGCCCTTACAAGCTGTGACATGAGTTTGCGAATGACCCCTTAAGACTATGTATTTCGAAGTGGTTGACCCAGCTCTTAATCCCAGCCTTTCCTGCTTTTGATGAACATAGCAGTTTTCACGTCTGTGAATCAGTGCGTTAACGACCACTTCTTGACTTTAGGAATTTGAGAGTGTATTTTGCGGTAAAACTGGCAGAAGGCTAAAGCTGACCAGACCAGACTCCTTGGTGACCTGCCCGGCACAGGGGAGCCTACAGAGCAGCCCCGCGATGGAGATCAAGTGATCAGCCGGACAGGAATCCTCCGTGATTCACGCGTGCTTCTGCAACCCGCAGCTCCGCCCTGACGGTCTGACTCGAGAGGGACTTGGCTCGAGTTGACGGGACTCCAGTAGGGACTTTGAGAGCACATTTTGTAAAAATATTTGTCTAGAACAAAATACTTATCCATTAATGTCCTCTTAGACCATTTGGGGATAAAGACATCTTGATAATTAGTAATTTTTCAATTATCTGTCTGATTCCATCATGTTTTCTTAACATGATAACTTAAAAAATTAACATCCTTTGTAATTTCTTTAGTCTTAAAAAGTACATTGCTTTTTATTTATTTTCATTTTAAATATGCCCCTTTAGCAATTGGAACAAGTTAAATTGCTCTTCACTAGAAACAGTTTGGAAATTTTATTGTATTTGTTCTATCACCCCCCTTGTAATGATTTCCAGTCTCAGGGTGCTGTGTTGCAAAACGCAGCACTATTTTAAACCTTTTTGCTAAAAATTTTCCGGAGACTTCCTTTAAAGCTACTTCTGACCATAAATGAAATACTGTCTCAGTAGATTTCATAAATGCCCACATTTTCATACTGAGTCATTACTTTATGTGTAATAAACTGTGGTGTTTGGAACTGGGTTTTTCAAATGAGTGGCTTTATTTATTACAACAGATAATATCAGTAGAAGTTAGTACAATACAAAGTCACCTTCAATAAATACCTTTAATCAGAGATGTAAGTTTGTACACAAAAAGTAGGTAAATCAGACTAGACCTCTGTATAGAAGGCATACGGTACATTAGATTCTTTATTGTTTGTTACACCATAGCCAGTCATTAATCTGAAGATTTAATATATCATTTTATTGGGATTATGTCTTTACACAAATGCTACGTAAACAAGTTGAATATTTTTCATCTCATGGAATTGTACAAAACTTTTTTATATACACCCTACGTCCTCTCAAATGTTGGGTTTACAAATTTATCACCAGGCCTGTGTTTGAGGTATGACGTCACAGATGAGCGGCCGGCTGTCAGGAGCCGTGAGACAGACACCTGGACCACAGCTCCATCCATGCTCTGAGGCCAGAGCATCCCGCCGGCCACCGCCCAGGGTGTGGGTCAGGCCGGGGCTCCCTGGACGAGACCAGATGCTGTTGCTTCAGTTGTTGCTGCTTCTCTTCCTTAAGTTCTATTTTATGAGCTTCTAGGACCTGATTTCTCCCTGCCCCCTGCCAACACGGCGCCTTGGCAGGCCGAGGTGTCACAGATCCCCGGAGTCCCCTGAGCACCGACAGCGCCGGGCAGCCCCGGGTCGCCGGGTGGCCCGGGCTCGCCGTGAGCGCCGTCCTGGCCGTCTTTGCTGACGCCGGGCACGCCTTGCGGTCCTGAGACAGATGGGAAGGGCAAGCTCAGGCGCAGTGAGGACTGAAGAGCAGTGGCACTTCAGACTCACTGAGCGCCTCAACTCCTCCTTTCTAGGACTTACTTCTTAGCCCTGGGGGGGGCGAGGGGAGGAGAGATGGAGAGACGGGTGCAGACTGGGGGGGGGCCCGACGTGGGTGCCGCTAGGGCAGATGCTGCCCTCAGGGCGCAGCACCGCTGTCGGGAGGTTTCCTGGGTGCCGTGCAAGGACGGGATGGGTGGGCAGGAGAGGGGCGGGCGGGTGGCGCGTGGGAGGCTGTGGGGGCTCGGGAGCTGCAGGAAGGAGTACGTGCGAGTGAAGGGGGAGTCGGCTGCCAGGGGAGGGTGACAAAGCCCAGGATGGTGTGGTCATGGCACAGCCGGAGGCTGCTGTCCCCTGGGCACAGCGACACAGAGATGACTCATACCTGGCAGCCCCTGGTCTCCGTCCGGCCCGTCCAGCCCTGCGCCGGCCGCGCCCTTGTCCCCTCTGTCACCCTGGCTCCCTGTCAGGAGGGGTTGGACACAGACACGTGGTTAGAATACCTGCCCTAACGGCGGCGCTCGATCCGCCTTCCTGACAAACAGGCTGCCGCTTTCCACTGGCTTTCGTGGAAGCGGGACCACCCGGAAAAGACACCTCCGAGACGAACCCACCTAGACAGGGTCACGCGCCCTTGGTGACGTGTGGGTGACGATGGGCCGCATAGGTGACGCAGGCCCCTGACATCGCAACACCGTATTTTCACGGTGCCTTGTCTGTGTTCAGACATGTCTGGACACACACACACCGCCGGGCCCCGCTGCCTGCAGCACGCGGCGCGGTGACGGAATCTCACTGTGCTGCCCCGGGGCCGCGGCTCTGAGCAGCAGGCTCCACCTCCCGGTCTGTGCGGGGCAGCTGTGACCTGCCCGCGTGACGCAAGGGCCTGATGGCGCATTTCTCAGAATGCACCCCCCCGCTGGTAAGCGGCACACGGCTGTAACTAGCTGGCGTGGCCACCACTTCCCTGACCTCTGCTGCCACTGTGGACGGGGTTTTAGTTTTGTGCAAAATATTTGTGGCTATTAAGCAGTTAAGTATTTATTGTGTGTTCATATTTTCAATGTCATTTTTGACCCATGAGTTATTTAAAGGTATTAAATTTGGTTACTTATTTAGAGAGTCTCATTCTGTCACCCAGGCTGAAGTGCAGTGATGAGAGCATAGCTTGCTGCAGCCTTGAACTCCTGGGCTCAAGTGATCCTCCTGCCTAGGCCTCCCAAAGTGCTAGGATTACAGGTGTGAGCTGCCTTGCCCGGCCTTGATTTTGGGTTTTGGGAGGTGTTTTTTTGAGATGAGGTCTCGCTCTGTTGCCCAGGCTGGAGTGCAGTGGTAAGATCATAGCTCACTGCAACCTCACGTTCCTAGGCTCAAGTGATCAGCCTCAGCCTCCTGAGTATCTAGAATTTATTCTGTAAAATTTGGATTCAGTCAAAAGGTCGCACTCAAGGATCCAGAAGGCCACATGTGGCCCCAAGGATGCAGGTTCCCCATCCCAGATTCTAGCACTAAGGGCATAAGCCACCATGCCCAGCTGATTTTTTTTTTAGATGTAGGGTCTTGCTATGTCCCCCTGGCTGGTTTTAAACTCCAGGCCTTAAGCGATCATCCTGCCTTGGCCTCCCAGAGTGGTGACTTACGGGCATGAGACACTGTACCCAGTCAGATTGTACCTTTTATCAGCCTAGCTCACTGCAACCTCAAACTCCTGGGCTCAAGCAATCTTCCTGCCTCAGCCTTCAGAGTAACTGGGACTACAGGCATGCGCCACCATGCCCGGCTAATTTTTTCTATATATTTTTAGTAGGCCAATTAATTTCTTTCTATTTTTAGTAGAGACAGGGGGGGGGAGGGTCTCGCTCTCTCTCAGGCTGGTCTCTAACTCCTGACCTTGAGCGATCCTCCTGCCTCGGCCTCCCCGAGTGCTAGGATTATTACAGGTGTGAGCCACCACGCCCGGCCAGTCCTCAAGCTCTTTGTCGATCCCTCCCCACCAGAGGTGGTTCGATGGTATTTGAGAAAAATATCACATTTGGTTCTCCTTGTGAGATTAATGAGGGATCAACTTCGCTTGGCCGTGAAAGCACTTGGAGCCAGAGAATGCCAGAAGCAGCCTCTAGTGACAGCCCCCCCCCACCCCCGCCGTGGCATTGTCACAGCCGGTGACCGTGTGGGCGAGACTACTCACCTCTGGGCCCGGGGTCGCCCAGCTCCCCGGTGGGGCCGCGGTATCCCGGGGGTCCTCGCGCGCCAGGGTGGCCAATGGAGCCCGGGGGGCCCGGCGGGCCGGGGGGACCAGCTGGGCCAGGCCGGCCGATGGCCCCGGGTGCTAACGGCTTCCTCAGGTGTGCCGCCAACTGTGCGATTTGCTCTTTGGGGAAACAAGGGTGCGAGCCGTTACTTCAGGGAGGACGCCCGCAGGTATTTCTATGCAGAGCATAGACTGCACAGTGCCGCCTTGCATCGGGACGTTTCCTTCTGATTGGCTGAAAGTGGTTTTCCCTGCTCTGGGGCACGCGACCCACGCCGTGCCCAGCCAGGACTGCCGGCACCGAGGGCACGGCCTTGTGTCCCCGTGCTGCAGCCGGGTGACTCACCGCTGATCATGCCGCCGCACAGCTCCCTGACGCGCTGCTCGCTGGCTTCCTTCCCCTGAAACGCACCCACAGGCCCTCGGGTCCACGCGTGTGGTGGCTTCCCGCAGCCACCATCACACCCCAGGGCCCCTGGGACCCTCGAGGAAAGGCGTGACCCAAGCCCAGCGCCCACCCGAGGAGGGAAGTGACCTACCGGCACGCCAGGTTTCCCCGTGATGCCAGGGATGCCCTGCACCCCCTGGAAGCCCAGGGGCCCGGGGGGGCCTGGGACGCCCTGGACCCCGCTGGTGCCGTTGGGACCCTGGATGCCTTTGGGGCCCAGCTCCCCTCGACTGCCGGACTGCAGAGAAACGGGCCGGGGGTGGGGGGAGTCAGCGGGAGCCTGGCGCGGAGCCGGACCCCAGGCCCCTCCCCAGTCCCGCCCAGCTGCGCCCCCATGTCTGGGAGACATCCTGCCGGCCGGCAGCCCAGCCAGAGGGCACCTGCCAGCCTCTCACCTCTCCTTTCGATCCCACGGGGCCGCTGGGACCCTGCAAGGAAAGGGAGCGTGACACCCGAGTGCGCTGCGAGCTGGCGGGCGGGGAGCAGCCCCGAGAGCACGATCCCGCACGTGTTGGGCGAGGATGAAATCGCCCACAGACCTGCCACTGACTGCCAGCAGCCCTTCCTTCCTCTGTTCTTCCCTGCATTGCATACGTTCTCTACGCTGCTGAGACCACGCGCACCCACTAAAGCTTCCTGAAAACCGACCTGCCCCGAGGGTGACTCTGCCGACCGCAGCTGCGCGGTGTCATCTCTTACACGCACTCACTTTGTCTCTTTTGCTGCGGTGAGTAACGCCAAGCTGGACGTCTCCACCCTAAACTGGGCCCGTCCCCGGGGTGTCCCCAGCTGTGACCGACCCGCCCGGGCCTGTGCACAGGGACGCAGCCCGCTGGGGTCTGGCCGTCTCCCCGAGCGCACGCATGCGTTCAGAGGTGGGACCTTTAGGAGGTGACGGGCTCGAGGGCCCCGTGTGAGTGGGCGGATGGCCGACGCCGTTGTCACCGGAGTGGCTCTCCTGAAGGAGGGACAAGCCCAGTCCCTTCCCCTCCCCCCGCGTCTCTCTGGCTGCTTCGCTGTGGGATGGCGCGGCCCCTCGGTCTTGGACTTCCCAGCCTCTGGACACAAGCGAGGTACATCTCTTTCCTTGTAGATTACCGCCCGCAATGCTGTCACCGGAGCAGAACACAGACCGAGACCGGTCCCGCCCAGCTAGCGGGCAGGCGGAGGGCTGGCGGGGCCCTGACACCGCGCTCTGCTCACGCTGGCCGGCGACTGCCCCGTCCGGGGCTGGGGAGGGCAGAGGGAGGGTCCCACGCTCGGCCCCCTGTGCCAGGGCTTAGAGCCGAGGGGGGCTCGCCTCCTCGCCTGTCCCCCTCCCAGGTGCCACCCCCCCCCGTCAGTGCAGCGGCCCCAGGCTGCCTTTGGTGGCTGCTCGGGTCCAGGGTCCGAGTGTCCAGGCTGGCTGAGAATCCGCCGAAATGAATAAGACGCACAGCTGAAATTACTTTGGCTAGAGGCTTAAAAAGTTCACACTAGGCTACCGGGGTTTTGCCCAGACACAAAGGAAAAATTAATCCAAGAATTAAAAGCCACAGCCACGGACCACGGGCCATGGGCAAGCCTGGCAAGTCCATGGGCCGTGGGCCACGGGCAAGCCAGGAAGATCTTTCCCTCTAACCCCACAAGGCCCCCACTTCCATTCCCTCCAGGAGAAACGTGAGTCAGTTGACTCCACCGCGGGCTTTGTTTCATATCTAACCTGAGTTTTAGCTCTGGGGAAGCAGAGCTTTCTTCGGTTAAAACTCGGCTGTGACTAATTCCTGCTGAAGGGCCACAGCGACTTTTGCAAGCAGTTACCAGGCGAGGGGGTGCAGAGAGCCCTGCGCTGACCGGAGTCGCCCCAGGCCCACCCCAGGCCGCCAGCTGCTCCCATGTCAGGATTTCCAGGCACCCCCCTGCTGGGGGAGGTCAGTGGCCACGCCCCAGCCCCCCACGTCCAGCCCCCCACTCCCCCGAGGGACTGTTCCTGCCCCAGGGTCCACAGATGTTGACCTTGTCCTTGGGATGGTTCCCACCCTGCTGACCAGTTAATCCTCGGTTGTTAGTCACAGGAAGGGCAACTTAATGACACTCACCGTCTCGCCTTTATCCCCGGGAAGACCGTCGGCACCCGCGATGCCCTGCAAGCGACCACCCGAGGGCAAGAGGACCGCTCAGCGCGTCCAGGGATGTCCCGCCTGAGGCCACCTGCTCTCCAGCCGGGCTGCTTCACACTCGTCCCCTGGGACTGAGGCCAAGTCCGGGCCCAGCCCCTGAGGACCCTCCCCTCAGGCCCCATCCCGGGTGGAGACCACAAAGCAGAAGGCGCTTGTTCACACAGCGAGGCTTCTGTGCCCCCGGAGCCTGGCGTGGGGGGAGGGCTGCAGGTGCTCGACCAGCACGGGCGGCCCTGGGTTGCCTGGAGGCCAGAGCAGGTGGCTGGGAGGGCAGGGCGGCCTCCCCACAGCCCCACCCGCACTGAGCTCCTCTGCAGAGAGAAGTGCCGCATAGGGAGAAGTGGGCTTCTAATCTGCTTCTGCAAGACGGAGAGCCCAGACCCCGTCCTCCTTGTCAAAGTCAGTTTCCCACAAGGTCAGCAGGAAACACACTCCCCCGGGTGGGGGCGGGGAGGGAGGTCCCCGTCCAAGCCTCCCGGGACAGAGCCACGTGGCCACCGTCTGGCCGGCAGCCGCCTGCACCCCGAGCTGGAGGCTGGTGCCCAGAGCGCCTGTCACTGTGCTACAAGGGCCGGGGACAGCAAATGAGAAAGACAGGAGAGAAATGAACCCAGCTGTGACCTCACCTGGTCTCCCTTGGGTCCTGCAGCGCCTCCAGGGCCCTGGGGTGGAGAGAAGGCTCTGATCAGAGGAATCGCAGACTCCCCCGAAGGGACCCGCATTGCGTGGTGAGCCCAGGGACGGCAAACTCTTCCATGCATCCGCAGGAGTGGGCACAAGTGAGCGGCTGTGACTCCCGACACAGCCTCATGGCCAGGCGCACGGTCACAGGTCACAGGCAGCACCCAGCTCTGCCCTGCGTGTGCCTGCGAGTCTCGGGCCTCTCCCCACAGCGCCAGCCCTCTGTCCAGGGCCCGGCCTCCCTGCTGCTCGGGGCCACTGAGGTCCTTTCAAGCTAGGCATCGCTGTAACCCCACTGAGCGTGTGCGGGCGTCTTCACACACACGGTCCTAGGATAAGCCCGTCGCAGGGGGTTCCTGAGTCTGAGCCCCGAAAGCTCCCACCACCTTCCCATCCGGCTGTGAGATTAAGGGCAGGTCTTGGGACTGCTGGGTCTCCCTAAAAGAATGTCCCCGGCGGCCGGGCGGGGCGGCGTGGCCTGCGGTCCCAGCTACTCGGAGTCCGAGTGGGAGGATCGCAGGAGAGAGGAGTTCCAGGCCCGCCTGGGCAACACAGTGAGACCCTGTCTCTACAAAAAGTAGAAAAATCTTTTAAAAACTCCATTTGCTCGCATAGCAGCGCGCTCTCAGGAAGTTAAAGGGAATCTCAGCAACCAGGCCTGCCGCACCTGGGCCAGCGCCAGCCGCCATCTCCCGGAGGCCCTGGGGTTGCTGGCACGTCCGGGCCTCTGGAATTTCCTGTCCCGAGGCTAAGAAAGAGCTCCCTGTCCCTCTGTCCCCACGGGGGGTGGCGGCTTCTCCAGCCCAGATGTCCCAGAGGCAGGGGCGTCTGCGGCCGAGCCCTAGAGCCCTCCTGGGGCAGTGTGCACACCTCGGCAAGGGCGCCGTCCCTGCCCACGCCCAGCGTGCGGCCACACAGGCAGGGCCTGGTGGGACGAGGCTGGGGCCAGGGCCGCAGCCCAGACCAGACCTCAGCCTCCTCCCAGGGGACCCAGGGCTTTGGCCCCCAGCTGGGCCAGTCACTCAGGCGCCTGTGCCCTGATCCCCAAGTCCGCGTCACGGGCTGTCGTTAGACCAACAGGAAAGGGTCTTGAGAAGCCGGCAGTGGAGACGGTCACAATGGTTCGGACCGCTGGAGCTCAAACTTAATCGTACAGCAACGTCACCCCGCCAAATGACACCTCGGCTGACACCCGCAGGTGGGAGCCGGCTTGGCTCCCAGCGCCACTGCCTCCCCCTTGTTCTGATTATTAGGCACCGACTGTGTGCTGTCCTCCCCGCACGCATGGGGACGGAGCAGAGTGGCTGAGGCTCCTGGACCCCCCTTGCCCACAAGGAAGGCCATGTGGAAGGATGGGGGGGACCAAAGGGCGCCACGGTCTGCCATGGCCCTGCCCCCCCATTGGAGCTGTGCAGGTGCAGGGGAGAGGCCCCTGGCCGGGACACCTTGAGGAGCCGTGGACTGTGCTGTCAGGGGCTGGGGCGTGTCCTGCAGGCAGGGCCACTTACCCTGTCGCCCACTTCGCCGCGGAGGCCCTGGGGACCTGGAAGGCCGGGGTCTCCCATGCTGCCCTTCCGGCCCTGTGGGGAAGGTCCAGCTCAGCCACGCCCTCCGCTGCAGCGTGGCCCACGTGGGCTCCCGCTTCGGCCTGCTGTGCCGGTCACAGCTCCAGGCCACACCCACACCCCATCTTACCCACCTGGAAGCCTCGGACGCCGGGGGCCCCGGGAGGGCCTTGCGGGCCAAGGGCCCCCTGAAAGACAGAAGGAGGTGTGAGTGGGGGCCGGGCAGGCCCAGGGGAGGGGGCTGTGGGGCCCACAGAGCTGGGCTGGCCCTGCAGCTGGTCCCAGCCCCTGGCCAAGCGGGGGTCAGTTCAGGGGTCTCGGGCCCAGGTGCACCCCCGCCAGGCGCCGATGCCCACTGCCCACCCGGGCCTGTGGCTACAGGTGGGCGCCTCGGTCTGAGGCTGGGCCTTCGGGCAAAGGTCCCGAGGACGAGACAGCTCAGGCCTGGCCCGCGTGTCCAGCATCCTCGGGGTCCTGCCCATCATGGTGCCCAACACGGCTCAACCCCGGCGCCACCTGCCAGGGGCTCGGGCCACGCGCCCCCCACTCACCGAGGAGCCCCTGTGGCCAGCCTCGCCGCGCTCCCCTGGCACGCCGACGTCCCCCTGTGGGAGGAGAAGCAGCATGAGAGCAGGGTCCTGCGCAGGGGGCGGGGCGGCGGGAGCGGATACTCACAGGGACGCCTGGCTCTCCCGAGCGGCCGGCCTCGCCCAGCTCCCCGGCTCTGCCCTGCGGGGAAGGCGTCGGTGAGTGCCCAGGCCAGGTCGCCGGCCTCCCTCCCCGGGGAAGCAGCCACGTACCAGTTCTCCCTTCTCGCCTTTGGAGCCCGCTTGTCCAGGGAGCCCCTGCCAGGACAGAGCTCGATCAGCGCCGCTGAGTCCACACGCGTGTGCATGTGGACAGTGGTGGCTGAGAGCCGCATGGGACAGACTGTGGAGCCAGAGACAGAGGCCCCACGGGACAGCGCTCCCAGGGCCGGGCCAGTTTCTAGGCCTGCAGACCCTGGGGGACTTCTACAGCCTCCCTGGCCTCGGGCGGGGAGCCCCTGCAGGAGCCCCCCAGGGCCCACGGGGTGACCCCCACATCTGGGATGGACACACGCACACGCATACACGTCCCATGCACATGCACACACATCCCACCCACACGCATACATGTCCCACATGCAGACACCACGGGGCACTTGCCGGGTACCACGGCCTGTGTGGGCCCCAACCGGCCGTCCCCAGAGCCACTGCAGGAAGGGACCCCATGGTGACCAGCCCAGCATGGCCCAGCGCAGAGCAGCGGGACCCGGAGCCAGCCCTGCCCGCCCGGGCACTCACCGGCAGCCCGTTGGGACCCTTCTCTCCCGGACCCCCATTTCGGCCAGCCTCGCCCTGCAAGGACGGCAGGGGTGAGAGGGAGCGGGTGCCGAGGCCTTGGGAGGCCGAGCTCCCCTCCACCCCCACAGCCTGCGCCAACCTTCTCGCCCTCCAGTCCTGGCACTCCGTCCCGGCCGTCCTTGCCCGGCATGCCCTGGAGACAAGGGACATGTGACGTGGGAGGCCGGGGGCAGGGAGCCGCGCCCGCCCCTTCCACTGTAGCCCCGTCCCCTGGGGCAGCCCCTTCCCCACCCCCAGAGCTGGGTCTGCCCCCCGAACCCGGGGGTTGTCTGTGGTTTCACCTGGGAGGCCGCATGGCAGCCTGTGCTGCCCCAGAGCCACGCAGGTGAGGGGGCGGGAGAGGACAGGGCTGGGGCGGACACGGATGCGTTGCTGACCAGCCCACAGCTGCTCAGACACCTCCCGGCCACCATGGAAGGGTGGCCGTGGCCTGCTGCACAGGTGGGGATGGGCTGGGGAGCCGGACTTGGGCCCCGCTGTCTGGGCCACACTCTCGACCAGCTGAGGCATCAGGGTGTCTGTCCCCGCACCTGTCCTCCGCCAACTCCCGCCCCGGGTCTCCCTTGAGAGAGAGATACCCCTGTAGGGCCAGAGATGGCGGGGGGCACTGGGTCTGGGCGCACAGCATGGACGACAGGTGCCCCGACCCGAATGCCACATCTGCGCCCCGTGCCAGCTGCTGGGCCTCCCTCCCACAGGCCCCGGGCGCAGGGGAGCCCGGCCGAGCCTCTGCTCCGCAGGGTCCTGGCGGCCACGGAAATGCGGGGCCACGGGGGCCGCCAATCACTACTCCGAGGTTGACATGGCAATGGCAGGGCAGCAGCCTGAGGGCGTCCCTGCGGAGTGTGGCCACGTGCCCGTGAGGCGCTGGGCACAGCCGGGGCGTGGAAGGACAATCCGGGGAAGCAGTCACAGACAAGGACGGCCACACGCGCGGCCACACACACAGGCCGCAGCCCGGGACTCACCGGCTCTCCGACCGGCCCGGCCAGGCCGGGGGCTCCCTTGGGACCAGGTCTGCCCTAAAGGACACACAAGGGACGGACCCTGAGGGCTCCCTCCCCAGACCAGCTGCGCTCTGGCCGGGGAACGAACCTCCTTGAGGGGCCTGTCGTGCGTGGGGAGAACTATCTTTGGGTCAGTCTGGGGAGGGCCAGGCAGGTGAGGAGGCTGCCACAGGCCAACACCACCGGGGGCCGTCACTCCAGTCCAGGGACCTTCGCTGTCTGGGCTTGCCCGAGTTCACCGGCTTAACCCGAGAGCAATTTTCTCATTCCCGTTTCACACCTGGGCAACCTTGGCACAGGTGAAGCCCACTCTGCCCAGGGCCGCAGGAGTCCAGCCAGGGCTCTGTCCTTGGGCCCTGCTGGAGCCTTGAGGAGGGGCCAGGGCTCCCAGGGGGCAGGGAGAGTGCTGGGGCCTCCAGGGCCAGGCTCGAGCCCCCCACCCACTCCCCCACACGGGTGCCCCGTGGGGTCCCCCCAACACCAGGTGGGAATAGGAGCAGGTCCTTCTGCAGAGGGACCCCCAGGACCGAGTTCTCTCTCACTTACGAGGTCGCCCTTGGGGCCGCGGAAACCCTCGGGGCCTCTCTCGCCTCTGTCACCCTGGAAACGAGGGGTGCGGGGAGGGAAGAGTTAACAACGTGGAGAAGGCTGGAGAGCCAGACCAAGGCCAGGCGGGGTCACAGTGGCTGGACATGGCTGGACGGATGCTGCTGAGAGTCACAGAGGTCAGAGGGCAATAACGACACCCTACTTCATGTCCAGAACCAGGAGGGAGGCGAGTCTCCCGCAAAGGATGGTAAACGCGGTCCCCTGGCCAGTGCCCCCAGCCCCCCAGGTGTGTGCAGGGCTCGGCTGGGCCCGGCAGGTGGGGCACAGGGAGCGGGGCAGAGGCCGGGCCGCAGGGCTCCCCACCCCCGCCCAACACACTTACTGCCTTCCCGGGAGTTCCCGGGATCCCGGGGGGTCCTCGGAACCCGATAGGACCCTGTGGAGGAAAGGGGGTGTCTGGGTTGCCTCGTCTGCAGCCTGGCTGGCACCCCCAGAACCCATCCCCGTCGGGAGAGGCCTGAGAGCGCCCCCCTCTAGGACCCTGCAGGCCCCTAATCCGTACCCAGTGGTCCCCAAACCTCGTCCCCTGCCCCAGTCTCCTTGGGCTAAGTTGCCTCGGCCTCGCAAATCCCGGCTGGGAACCGAGTGTGGGGGTGCGGGGACTCCGGGCCAAGCTCTGCCAGGGAGGCCTGAGGCCCACACAGCCAGCGGCAGAGCCCGGGGCGCGGCTGCTGAGGAGCCACACTCCCGGGGCGCCCCTGGGGTGGACGTGGGGACGAGCCCAGGCCCCCACCCTGCAGCTGATCAGTCTGGCTCACAGCCCCCCAGGGCCCCAGGACTTACCCGGTCTCCGGGGGGCCCGAGCGGCCCTGGCAGTCCTCGAAGCCCCCGGGGGCCCTGCAGGGAGAGAGCGGAAGATGCAGAGGACGCGGCTGTGCCCCCACGTGGGAGTTGCCAGGGGCCCCGGCTCTGGGGGGCACCTAGGGGTTCCAGGCCCGGCTCTGGGGGGACACCTGGGGGTCCCAGCCTGGCTCTGGGGGGCACCTAGGGGTCCCAGCCTGGCTCTGGGGGGGCACCTGGGGGTCCCAGCCCGGCTCTGGGGGCACCTGGGGGTCCCAGCCCGGCTCTGGGGGGGCACTGGGAGTCCCAGACCAACTCTGGGGGCACCTGGGAGTCCCAGCCCAGCTCTGGAGGGAACCTGGGAGTCCCAGCCCCGCTCTGGGGAGCACCTGAGAGTCCTAGCCCAGCTCTGGGGGGCACCTGGGGGTCCCAGCCCGGCTCTGGGGGCACCTGGGAGTCCCACTATCTTCCCTGGGGCACCAGCCTTGAGATCAGCGCCTCCGCAGGCAGGACCCCAGCGTGGGTGCTGGGCGACCATCTCCCCTCCCGCCACCCTCGCCCCTCCCTGGCCTCACCTGCAGCCCCACGGTGCCCGGGATGCCGGCGGGCCCAGGTGGGCCGGGGTCACCCTGCAGCGGAGAGGGAGAAAGCAGTGGTCAGTGGGCTCGGTCTGGCTTCACCGGTCTCTTGGCTGGGCCATGAGGCTGAGTGAGGGTCACACGCAGCTCCAGAGTGGTCATGCATGTCCCGGTGGCCTCGCCCGTGGCCGGGTCCCAAGCCCTGAGCCCCTCCCTGGCCGCAGATGCACTGTGCTCACCTTCTCGCCGTCCTTGCCGACTTCTCCCTGCTCTCCTTTGTAGCCAGTGGGGCCCTGAAAACAAGGACAGGAGTCTCGGCCCCTCCCCGAGCAGCATTGAACTGAGTCCTGCGTGGGATCCAGCCACAGACACAGCCGCACCGAGGCGGGCAGGACTGCAGGCCAGGCTCAGCGGGGGAAACCGAGGCCAGAGAGGTGTTGTGGGCTGGGACAGGGCTGGGCTGGGGACATGAGCCAGCTCTCCCCCACGGCCTCTCTCTGGCCCTACCAGCTCCCAGGGTCGGGGTGGGGGCTGAAGCTGGGACAGGAGCCAGCCCTCCCTTCTCCCCACGGCCACCCTGCAGCCAGGGCCAGGCTGCCCGCTCACCTTGAACCCTGGCATTCCCGGGGGCCCAGGGGGGCCTGGCGGGCAGACACTTGGGCACTGTTGGAAAACACAGTAGTCAGACCCCCCAGCCCGATGGAGCAGACCCCAGCACACAGGTCAGCACCAGAGGGGCCCTGAGACGGGGTTCCCCATGTGCGAGGGACGGGGGCAGCTGGGACAGGGCCTCGCTGGGGCCTGCCCCGCCTGGTGAGGGGCCGCGCAAAGCCAGACGGCAGCCAGCCGCCCCCACGGCCAGCTCTGACGTCTCAGACCCACGGCTGCTGCAGGTCCCAACGCAGCTGCTCAGCACGGCGGCCACCAGCCTTACAAAGGGCCCCTCCCCCCCCCCCCGCACACGCCTGTGGGAGCACGCGGCCTGTGGGGGGGCAGTACCGGGAGCCCAGGCCACAGATTTGACGCTCCCGGCCGGAGGCTCGGGGAACCCAGGGGAGGTTCCACAGCTGCGGTGCACAGGCTGGGCTGAGGTGCAGGGCCAGCACCGTCAGCCTGTGGTGGTCTCATTCCAGAAGACCCCCAGCCCTCCCCCCGGGACACGCAGGTGGCACACTTGGGACCCAGGTGGGCGCAAGAGCAGACGGAACGGCCACCAGAGGTTGCAGCAAACTGGACAGGACTTTTTTCCTTTGAGAACATACATATGGCCTCCCCACGGACGCGCGGCCCGGAGAGAACAGACCTGGGGCTTCCGGAGTGACAAGGCTCAAAGATCAAGATAAGGAGAGTCCCGGACTCTAGCTGTGGCCCCTGCGCTGAGGACGTGCGGGCCCCGCCCAGCGTGGGCGCCACCCGCACCTGTGCTTGGAGCCCCCCATCGGTGGCTCACCCAGGGAGGAGCTGATGATTGATGTGATTGTAACTGACTTGGGTTCACATCTCATGTGGCTGGTGGCTTTGTGAGCCACGGGGGGCGGGGGCAGGCCCCCCGCTGGGCTCTCTGCCAGCTGTGCCTGGACCTGCCTGCCCTGCCCCCGACCCCAGGGAGCCCCTGGGCCCTCCCTTCGTGCCCACTCAGAGCAAGCCCCTCTCCAGGGAGAATGTCACTGAAGTGGGACTCAGGCCAGGCCCCTCCCCTCCAAGGCAGGCACCCCCAGCCCCCTTCACAAATGGCTGCAAGTGCCCACCTGCAGGTCAGTAGCGCCTTCAGGGAGGACCCCTGGGTGTCCCTGGAACAGAGACAGGAAGCTGACATCCCCACCCTCCTGGCATCTGCATCCACCCCACCCCCCATGCTCTGACCACGACCTCCCCACTCACCGGGACTCGGAGACCCTTCACCCTATGCCCCAGTAGCCAGTGCTGGGTGCTGCTGGCCCATCCACGGGGTGTGGCACAATGACAGAAGCTATCTGTCCTTGGGGCAGGTTGACCGTTGGGGCCCAGCCACTGCTGCTGCTCCCCCAGCCCCCATCTATTCCTGGGAATGGCTGGTCAGGGTTAGGGGATCTCCTCGGGTCATGGGGCTTGGGGGTCCAACCCAGTATACCAGCCCAGTACTTACAGGGGGTCCGGGAGGTCCTGGGGGGCCAGGGAGGCCTGGGGGTCCAGAGGGTCCCTGTGGAGGCATGACTTAGACAGAGCAGCTCCCTGGGGAGGAGGGCACCCCCACTCCCCCCGCCTCCCGGGCCCTGGCCTCTTGTGGGGTCTGCGTGTTCCGAGGCCTGGATTGTCCCTTCCCTGGGGCACTGGCCAGGGCCTGTGCTGACCCCACAGGAAAAGGGGGAGCAGGGGAGAGGGAAGGGGAGCCCCTGGCAGCCGAGTCTGGGCACCTGGGGGGGCGATGGCAAGCCTGCCCCAGGGTGGGGGAAGGCTAGTGGGCACTCACCGGGGGGCCTCGGAGGCCAATCCCGCCTGGGAGGCCGCTCACTCCTGCCTCTCCCTGCAGTGGGGTAAGAGGTGAGACACGGGGTCCCCGCCCAGGCCCACGTTGCCATCTCTGAGGGGACGGGGACCTGGTGTGGGGTGGTCAGGTTGCTGCCCCCAAAACCCCGCCCCAGCCACGGTGTGGGACACCCCCGCCCACGACGGCTCCTGAGTGGGGCAGCTCTGGGAACTCGAGTGCTTGGGGGCCACGAGGGTCGTCAGTACTCACGGGGGGTCCAGGGAGGCCCTTGCCCTGCAAGCCAAGCATGGGGGTCAGAGCCTGCTGGGCACAGGCGTGCCCCCACCCCCCAAGATGCTCAGCAGGGCCTGAGGGAGCCTCAGGGGTCGGGCGGCTGGTTCAGCAGTCCCCGCAGGGACAGGGGCTGCCCAGGAGAGGCCAGGGACGGCCCTGCTGTGGCCAGGCCCCCCAGCGCCTCAGACCCCACGGAGCGGTGACGACCACACTCACCCCCAGCCCGGGTGGCCCCGGAGGTCCCAGACTTCCCTGTGGAAGGAAAACGCATGTCAGGGCTGGGCTGAGCCCAGGAACCCTGGTCTTGTCTTCGAGCCCTTCCCCTCCCTGGGGAGTCCCGTCCCGCAGCTCCTCCCGGGGAGAAGGGTTGGGGGCCCCCTGCACGGAGGGGAGGGGCTTCCGGTGCCCTGGCAGCCTCCTGCGCCCACAGCCCTGGCGAGGAAGAGCCTGGCAGAGAAGGCACTTGGCTGGGCAGCTGCTGCAGATACATGGACAGAGTCACACGGCGCCAGGCAGGTGCCAGCCAGCTCGAGCCCCAGACAAGTGACCCCAAGTTTCTGTCACCCCCAGGAAGCACCCCAGTAACTGAACGCACTGGGGAGCCAGCCCGCCCTCTGATGCCTGCACCACTGCGTCCGAAACGACCTGCTCCTTGGATCGAAGGGGGAGCACATCCTGGGGCTGCCCACCCCCTCGCCCAGCACCACGGGACACAGCCGGACAGCAGCCGCCTTCTCTCTGCTGTCTCCAGCTCAGAGCACTGCTGAGCGCGGCGAGTTCCCAAGGGCAGGGCTGTGTCTTGTGCACCCCCGCCCAGCCTGCCTCGGCCACACCCAGCACCCAGGGCCAGCAGCACCCGCCGCTGACGGTCACTTCTCACAAGGGGAAGGAGAGAGGGCGATGCGCTGTTCTGTACTCAGAAGCTGGGGGAGGAGTTGGCTGTCTGAAGATGGTGGTGCCAGTCGGTCATGGAGCAAGGTTCAGTGGACAGTGGTCAGCCTCAGGGGACTCGGCAGGCTGGGTGACAGTGAGCCCAGGGCCCTGGGAGCCACAGGGGCACTCCGAGGAGGAAGGGACACACAGGGCGGTTCACAGCCTCCCCCAACAGTTCCCCCCTAGGGTCTGGATGCTGAGACACCTCTGACCAGAGGAGGCATGGGGCAGCCACTGGAGTGGGGGGTGACCTTTCACCCCCCTGCCCCCTCCCCCTGCAGGGGCAGGGCCCGGCCAGCCCAGTCACAGCCACGCCCTGGCCGGGGACCTCACGTCTGGACTGAGGCCACTGGATGTGGTACGGGCACTTACCCGTTCTCCAGGGGCGCCCTTGGGCCCAGGGGGTCCATCTCGCCCGGTCAGACCCTGGGGAGAGGCAGAGGGAGGGCTCAGGGGCCACACGGAAAGCACGTGCCCACCCCTAGGGCACCAAGGAGCCACAATTCCTTTACTAAGATGAGTCCAGAGAGGAAGCCCTGCCCCCTGGCACTTTCCTCTCCTGGCCCCGAGCACATCCGTGTCCCAAGGCTCCGGGGGCAGCATGAAGCCAGCAATGGGGGCGCCTGTTGGGGTCAGGCCCCGAGGGGACCAGCCCAGCAGGACCACACAGCTCCCCTCCCAGACCCGGCTCTGGCCCTGACAAAGCTGCGGGCCAGGCCTTGAGCCTGCGGCCGCCTGGGGCCTGGGCGTGGGCCAGGCCAGAGGTGGGCAGAGGAGCCTGACAATGGGTGTTTGTTTCTGGACGAGCAAGAGCTGGCGGGACGTCCCCCTACTGTGGGCTGGCTCTGTCCTCTGCCAGATGCTATCGGGGTCTGGGATGAAGGCCAAAGGACCCCTGATGGGGACTTCTGGAAACTTCTATCAGGAGTGAGTTTGCCGCTTGAACAGGCCCAGCTAGAGACCAGCAATTACTACCGACTCCTCCAGGGCCCTGTGTGGGGGAAGGGGCCGGCACACTCACGTCCACGCCGGGCAGTCCCGGCAGCCCGGCCTCTCCTGGTTTCCCCGGCTTCCCTGGGGCCCCTTTTGGTCCCTGTGTAGGAGGAAGGGGCAGAGGAGTGAGGGAGGGGTCCGGCCCCAAGCTCTGGCCCTCAGCAAGGATGCAAGCATGGTCTACCCGTGCACCAGCGGCCACGCAAGGTGGCCCCGCTGCTCTGCAGGCCCAGCCCTCCCAGGCCCAGGAAGGCTGCCCGCCACATCCCGAGGTCCTGTCTGTAGGGCGCCCACCTGCTCGCTTTGCCCTTCCCAGCTAAGTGCTGGCAGGTCCCTCTGTGGGACCCCCAGTGGGCCCAGATAGGGCTGGGACTGCCACCCCATGGAGCTGAGAGGGCTCCACGTGTCGCCCCTTCCCTGGCCTGCCCGGCCCGGCCCAGAGACACACCAAATCCCACATGCTCCCCTCCCGCCCCTCCTGGCTCGGGCCCTGCTCCAGCCCTCTGGGGCCTCTCCTCAGGCAGCCCGGGCCCAGCCTGGGGGGACAGGACAGGCAGGCATGAAAGCCCTCTCTGTTCTGTGTCCAGCCCCTTCCCCCACAGCCAGGGACACTCACCGGGGGCCCAGGCAGACCTGGAGGACCAGCTTCCCCCTGCAAAGCAGAGACGCCCACATGTGACCCTTGAAAATCAGGGGTCCCCTGAAAACCCTGCCCCAAGGCAGCAGACCCGAACCTGCCTCCAGGTCGGTCCCCGAGGCCTGGCCCCAGGAGACAAGATGGGGCCCAGCTCCTACATGCACACCTAGGGCCCCTTCTGTGGCCTGCACTGGGGAGAGGGGTGTCCTGGATGCAGGGGCTCGGCCCTTTCAGCCCACACTGCGTCTGGGAACCCCTCTGAGGGCAAGGGGACAGGACCCGGCGGAACAATGGGGAGGGTCCTAAAGCCCCAGCCTCGGGCATCTGAGAGCCCTCCCAGCTCCATCCGCCCTCCAGTAAGGCCCCCAGACCCCCAACCCGCTGACGACCTCTAAGCCTGAGATCCTTTAACTGAGCCCGAGGCCAGGTTTCAGGCCTGAGGCCACCTGGGGCCAGGAGGGACATGGCGCCCTACCCGGGGGAGGGAGGCTGGGGAGGGGCCGTGGGGGTCTTGACCCAGCACCTTACGGTCCTCGCTGCTCCCGGGGAACCACACAGGGAGGACAGGCCTTTGCGGAGGTGGCTGGTGGGGGGAGGTTTCCACCCTGCCTCCCACGCCTGGTCTGGGACCCACGGAGGACAGCACCTCTGGGCTGCATGGCCCTGCCTCCCTCAAGGCTGGCGCCCGCACCCAGCACCCCACGGGACCCCTCCTCCCCACAGAACCTCTCCTCCCCACGGGATCCCTCCTCCCCGTGGGACCTGTCCTCCCCGTGGGACCCCTCCACCCCACGGGACCCCTCCTCCCCACGGGACCCCTCCACTCCACGGGACCGGACCTCCCCAGGGGCCAGACCCTCGGACACAGGAGCATAGGCCTCAGAGAACCCAGAGACACACCTCAGTGGCCGCATTACTGGCCCAAGGACCACCGAGTGACACCCCCACCCGTTCCACCCCTGCGGGATGCTGGCTCTCGCTGCCGCCATACCAGCTCTGGGAGGCTTGGTGCTCTGTCCGCCAGGGAGGCCAGAGGTAGAGCTAGAACCCCAGGGAACCCTCCCACACCCTTGTCCCCCAACTCACATCAATGCCATCCTTGCCTGGCTTCCCAGGTGGCCCTTGGGGACCAGGGGGGCCAGGAGGTCCCGCTTTCTGAAATGTAGAAAAGTGTTAAGTAGCGCCCTCCGCCGCCTCCGGGCAGTCCCCCAGGTTGGCACCGGATCTGCCCGCGCAAGCTCCCCTCTTCCCAGGTCCGGAGCAGCTCTGGGGCCTTTCACAGGGGTCCCCCAGATCCCGCCTGCCTAGGGGATCCGCGAGCCGCGGGAGTTTATCCGCCGGCTGGAGGGGTTGCGCCCGCCCGCGCGGAGCCGCGGGAACAAAGGACACATTGTCCGTCTGGCCAAGTGGCCGCGGCCAGACCCGGCCAGACCCTGCCCGGCGAGGACGCGGCGGCCGTCCGGGCTCATCCGCGAGGCGTCCGGCGTCCCCCGAGCTCAAGCGCAGGTCAGCGGCTCCGCGCCCCGTCGGCGACGCTCGCTGTGGGGCCACCGGGCTGCGCGCGGCGTGCGGCTGGGCGGCCGCGGGCGGGCGCGGGCCTGGCCGTCCCGGCTGCGCGGTCCCCGGCTGCGCGGTCCCGGCCCGCCGCGCTCACCTGCGCCCCGGAGGCGGCCAGCAGCTGTCCGAGCAGGAGCAGGGCGAGCGCGGGCGCGCGGGCCATGGCTGCGCGGCGTCTGGCCGGCCGCGGGTCGCGCCGGCGGGGCGGCGGGCCGGATGGGAGGGAGGGGGGCGGGCAGGTGGGGCGGGGGCGGCGCCCGCGCACAAGCCCCCCATTCAGGCCCACCTGGGCGGGCGGGGCTGCGGCGCCCAGCGGCCAGGGGAAAAAACGCAGCCGGGCGTTTTTGGCTAGCCTCTGAGTTAAAATTATCCCGGGCCTGGCGAGTCACACACACACCTTTGAGCAAAGGAGAAAGGCCTCTTTTCTCCGTGCTCCTCGGCTCCTCAGGGTGGGAGGGTGGCTCGCTCAGAGGGGCAGAAGGGGCAGGAAGCCAGGCCCCTCCCCAGGGAGGGCGAGGCGAAGCCCCTGTACTGGGGCCCGACAGTGCCTGCTTGCTGTAAGTGGGGGGGACACGCCCAGGCCCCGCCCACAACCTGGGCTACCCCAAGTGGCCAGGCCAGGTCAGGCCAGCGGAGACCGGCCAAGGCCAGACTCTCACCCAGACCCCATCCACCAAGACGGAGCAAAATGCAGACCTCGGAGGAGGGAAGCATCAGCACGTCCTGGGCCAGAGATGTGTCCGGAGCAGGAGCTCAGGCTGCCCGTGGCCTTTCCACCTCTCTCAAGCCCAGGGCTCACCAGACCCGCGCAAGTGGGCAGGGCGGTCACCGGCCTGGGGGCTCAGTGAGCGTGCAGATTCCCTGGGAAACGTGGCAGGGTTTAGAGGATGCTGTTAGGAGCTTTATTTCTGCTGCTGGGAACTCGTGGCCTTTGAGACAATGGAAATTACCAGGTGGGGGTGCCTGGAAGGAGACCCCTCTTCACCACCTGGAAGGGACCTCGCTCCCTCAGGCCCTCCAGGGGGGCCCATCCCAGGGTGTCTTCAGAGAGGAGGTGGGTGAGGGCTCCCAGCAGCAGCACCCCTGCTCCAAGCCCAGGGCCTGGGGAAAGATGAGGATGTGGCTGGCCCCTCCCCAGCCCCTGGCCTCAGCCCCACTCTGCCCCCACACCCAGCAAGGGCTCCTGCCCCAGTGGACACAGCACAGCTGGTCTTCACTCGGGTCGGGGAACGGGCTGCTGCCTAGGCCCCCGCTTGGCCTTCCTTCCCCTCCCCCCAGCCTTCAGCCCCTCACAAACCTATCCCCAACTCCAGGCAGACCCTAGGCCGACCCCTTGGGTTGGGGTGACCTCACACCCACCTGCCAGACCAGCCTCCCTGGGGCCCTGTAAGCTGGGTAGAAACAAAGCACTGCCCACTGGTTTGGGGACCTCACTGTCCTGGAAGCTCAGGGGCCAGGTGCACCCCTTGGTGCCCACCGCCAGGCACAGAGCCCGCCCCCCAGGGCTGCTCCGGCAGGTTCTGTCTCACTTCAGCACCAAGATGCTCCGCCTGACTTGGTCACATGACAGTGGGCGGGAGGACGCTGGAGAAGTGACAGGTCTGAGGCCCGACATCCTCCCCAGTGCCTCAGTCTCCCCTCCACGGCAGAACCCCTATCTTGGGCCACACCAAAGGGGAGTCACTAGGGGTCCCACAGCTTCTGGTGGGGCTGGGGGAGGTGGCCAGCTGCGAAGGTGCCCCCCCAGCTCCAGGAGAAATCGAGGCAGGTGCCTCCCTGTGAAGCTACTGGTTTGAGCTCCACCCACCCAAAGCGGGAACTAACCACGGACGCCCCCAGAACATGGTGCCTGGAGCCCCAGCTCTAACTCTCAGCTTGCTTTGTGGCCCCTGGGAGAGCCCACAGGTCTGTGTCCCACCTCTGCCAGGACGTCTGTCTGAAGGCAAGTGTGTGCCCCCCCAGGAGGAGCCATGAGTTGGGGGACCTTCCTCAGAGGCCCCACAAAAGCCCCCCACCCCAGAGATAGAGACGCTGTGAATTAGGAGGGAGGGTTTTGGCCTAGGGGGACAAAGCCAGGCTGTGGGGGGGCGTGGAGCCAGGCCAGAGGCAGGCCAGGTGGGAAGGCTGTGCAGAGATGCGGAGGAGGTGGAGCCTGCCCAAGTCACGCCGCTCAGTTAGCGTCGGAACCCGCGTCCCCACACCCACCTCGGACAGGGGCAGAGGCGGCCAGGGGACCAGCCGTCCAGCCGTCGGGGGCTCTGGGAGGCCTTGCGCTGGGGACAGGTGTGCTGGGCAGGGCACCTGTGCCCAAGGGACCGGGCAGCCAGGCCGGGTGTGTCTGGGGGGCGGGGCCGTTGCTCTGCCCCCAGGCCTGGCAGCTGTGACTGGGGAAGAAACCAGCCCCACCTGCCCCCAACAGGTCCACGCCAGAGAGACTCAAAGTCAAGTGAGTTTATTCAGAAAAGGCCTCGCTTGGCACCAGACTAAGAAAATGGGACCCCACCACCCCCAGACCCTGAACGTCAACCTGCAGAGACGGGGCAGGGGACAGCGGGGCGGGGTGCAGCGAGACGCCGAGGCTCCTGGGCCTTCCCTGAGGCAGGGCCTCCCTCCTGCCACGGCCGCCACCGTGGCCACCAGGGGAGGCCAGCACTGCTGGGCACCAAGGATGGCGGAGCCGGGCGCCCAGGCCCCGACTCCTGCAGCAGGGCCTGGACCCGGTCGGCACCTGTTCCTTAAGGCTCTGTGGGTGTGGCGGGAGGCCCCTCCCCCTCCACCGCCTCCCCCAGCTCTGCACACTCTTGGGCGGCAGGGCCTGGGCCCTGTGACGGGCTCCCGGGGGCACCCTGCTTGGGCTCGGTTGGGCCTTCCACATCCTCCTTGACCCCATTCTCGACCTCTTGGGCCCCAAGGCTCCCTGACGGGGCCGGGGTCTGGGCCTCCCCGCTGGCCACCTCGGCACCATCCCCAGCACCCTCGTCTACCTTCCTCCGCTTCCTCACCTCCTGGGCCACCCCAGCCCCCGGGGGCTGGGGGCAGGGCTGCTCGGCCTCCCCCAGGTCCTGGCTGCCCCCTTCCTGGGCCCCCGAGTTGAGGCTGCCCTGGCTGAGGGCACATCCCTCCAGGTTCAGAGCAATCTTCTCCACCTCTGAGGTGCCCTGGGGGCCCGGCTCCTCTGGGGCCTGCTCACGCCTGCTCACCTCCAACTTCCTCTTCTTGCCCTCTTTGGGGCTTGGGGGCTCCGACTCATCCTCCCTGCTGTCCCCGGCCTCGTTTCCCTGGCTCCTCTCCGAGGTTCCCAAGTCCTGGGGCTTCCCGCCTGGCGGGTGGGAACTCTCCGGCCTGCTGTCCCCACCCCCCTCCCTCCCTGGCCCGCAGGTCCGCCCCTGGGTGCCGGTCTTGAGGAGGGGGTCCTGGGGGCTCTCCCGCCCCTCCGCCTGCCTGGGACCCGCCAGTGGCCGAGGTGGAGAGCCGGGCCGGAACTTCCGCAGCTTGTCGTGAGGGCCCCAGACGAACTTGCAGCGGGGCCGGAAGTGCTCCCAGGCGAAGTGCACCAGCTCGCGGCGCTGGCGCCGGCAGCGCACGGTGAACATGAAGTAGTCCAGGGCGCTCTGCCGCACGCCCGGCAGCTCCCGCTGCACCAGCGTCTCCTCCAGGAAGAAGCGGACCAGCGGCGCCTGGTAGTGCTCGAGGCCCAGCTCGCCCAGGGATTTGAGGATTCGCGTGATGCGCAGGTTGTTGTGGCCGTGCCTGCGAGGGGTCAGGCCAGCAGAAGCTGTGGCCGGGACCTGCCAGCCCGAGGGCCTGGGGGGCCGCACTCTCCTCCCACCCGGCTCCACTCCACCCTCCAGGACAGAGGTCCTCAAACTTTTTTTTTTTTTTTAGACAGAGTCTCGCTTTCTTGCCTAGGCTAGAGTGAATGCCGTGGCGTCAGCCTAGCTCACAGCAACCTCAAACTCCTGGGCTCAAGCAATCCTCCTGCCTCAGCCTCCCGAGTAGCTGGGACTACAGGCATGCACCACCATGCCCGGCTAATTTTTCTATATATATTAGTTGGCCAATTAATTTCTTTCTATTTATAGTAGAGACAGGGTCTTGCTCTTGGTCAGGCTGGTTCGAACTCCTGACCTTGGGCAATCCTCCCGCCTCGGCCTCCCAGAGTGCTGGGATTACAGGTGTGAGCCACCACGCCCGGCCTCCTCAAACTTTTTAAACAGGGGGCCAGTTCACTGTCCCTCAGACCGTTGGAGAGTGCACACTGTGGGCCTGGGATGAGTCGGCTGCTAAGCAGGACAGGCAGCGGCAGCAAAAACACCCAGAGGGCCGGATAAATGTGCTAGGCAGCCCGCATGTGGCCTGTAGTTTGAGGACGCCTGCTTCAGGAGGTCCTGTGCCCAACCCCCTCCCTGGGCCCAGGGGAGGACACACCCCAGCGCCTGAGGAGATGGCCGTGGGTCCCAGGCATGTGGGTGGGGGTCTGGTGCATCACCCAGAAGGGTAGCTGGCCCCCCAGGCCCCTGCAGGGAGGAGCTGGCAGGAGGAGGGCCAGAGGGGACCAGCACAGGGGCCTCGGACCCCCCCCACCCCCCGCAAGGGGGCCACGCTGGCCGCACAGCCTGGCATGCGCTTGCTCCTCTGTGGGGCTGACCCCTCCCACTCAGGGCACAGTTTTCTTTAGATTCCAACAACTCCCTCCCAGGTAAGGTCCACGCTACCCTGCGGTGAGGAGGGTGCCCAGAGCCTGTCACGGTGAGGAGGGTGTCCAGAGCCTGTCACGCGCCCAGCAGGACCGGCCCCGCCCCGCCCGGCCCCGCCCCACGCGCTGCCTCTCACCAGTTCAGGTTCTGGAAGCGCTTTTGGTAGTTCTGTGCCCGGCACACGGCGCCCGTGTCTCGGTCCTGGAGCCGGATGCCGTAGAAGCCCAGCATGAGCTCGTAGGCCTGGACAAGCCGCTCCCTGATCTCCGGGGAGCTTTTGAAAGCCTGGAAAACAGCACCTCAGAGAGCTCCAGTGGCCGCCCCTGGGGCAGCTGTCCCGAGCGTGGCAGGGTGGCCACGTAGGTGTGGGGCCGCCGACACCCCCTCGGGGCCTGGACCACCCAGAGGCCTGGACTCGGACTCCCAGGAGAAACGAGAGACGCATTCACACGTCCCCGCTTTCCTCTGAGCTGCCACGAGGTCTCGCGGGGCCCGAGGCCGCTGCCCTGCCCCAAAGGGAAGCGCCTCCCCGGCCGGCCTGCTCCACCCACTGTCGGCTGCTCCAGCCCTCTAAGCCCCTCTCGTCCCTCGGGGCGGCTTCCAAACGTGGGCCTCCCACTCTGGCCCCAACCAGGGTGACAGAGGCAAGTCTGGCCTCTCTGAGTCTCTCAGGGGCTCTGCCCAGCCCCCGGCTGGGGGCACCATCTTCAGAAAGTGCCACCTCCTAGGTCCTCAAGAGGCCACGGCCACTCGGAGGGAGATGGTCAGACAGGAGGCTCTTCCGGCCCTGCTCCCTGCCAAGTGGCCCCCAGGGGGCAGCAAACTCCTGTTGTCAGCTGCGACCCCTGTCCCAGGCAGGGTGGCTTCCCCAGGCCTCCTTCTCTGCCCCCTAAGATGCCACCAAGGACTGGAGCTCACCTCCACCTCCTTGAGTGTGAGGGGCTTGGCGTGCCAGTTCACTCCCGGTTCCCGCAGAGGAAACAGCCTGTGGGTTAGAGACAGCACAGGCCCTGCGTGACCAAGGCCAGCCCCCAGCTCCTGGGCGGCCTGCACGGCTCACCACCCTCTCTGGGCTCCACGTGAACTCCAGGATGGGCTGGCTGCGTCCCTCTGAAGTCAACAAAGCAAGGGGTGTGTGCGGGCCCAGGACGGGACCCGGCCCGCAGGCTCCGTGGGGGCAGGGAGGACAGGGACCCGGCCCACAGGGTCCGTGGGACAGGGAGGACGGGGACCCGGCCTGCAGGCTCTGTGGGGGCAGGGAGGAAAGTGACGTCATGGCCAGGCTGACTTGCAGCCTCGGCTCTGGGCAGGGCCACGCTTTCGTTCATTCTTCCTTCTCTCACGCCGCCAATGCTGCAGAATTACTGCCCGAGATGCACCACATGGGGGGGGGAGGGGTGCCTGAGCACCGCCCAGGGGGCCGTCTTCAAAGCGAGGCACACTGACTCCCATGGCAGGGCCACAGCCTCCGAGTGAGCTGTGCCGGCGAGTCTCACCCCAGCACTGTGCTGGACCCTGCGCGGCCACGGTCCAGCCGGCAGCCCCTGCGCAGGGCCCGGCCCGCCTCTCCCACCATCCGGGAGCACGTGAGCGGCCGCCCTCTCCCGGGTCCTCAGCTCCCAGCTGAGGAGGCTGTTTCAAATTGAAGAGCCACAGCGGGGCGGGCCGAGGCTCCCCTCCTCGGCCACCACGGTGCCCAGTGAGGCCCAGCCGTGGGGGTCGGCGGTCAGTGGCCTCCGGAAGGGGCGGGGGCTCGGCACACACCAGGAAGCAGCCTGGACGAGGTCTCCTGCCCGGGAGGACCCTTTCTCCGGCCCCTGCCCTGCGCTGCCCGACTCACCACTGGATGTAGGAGTGGTTGTCCTCGAGGAGGTCGTAGTTGTCCCTCCAGTTCTGAAGAATGTCCTCAATAAAACAACCTGGGAGCCCATGGGGACAAGTCAGCTGCAGAGGCCACCCTGACGGCGCCCAGGGGGACAGAGCACACTTCCCAAAGCTCCCCAGCAGGGTTCTGGGGGTGGCAGAGCTGCCCATGCCTCATCTGACATGTGACCCCCCAACTTCGAGCACCTGGGCCCCTTGGTCCTGCTCAGCCTGTGAACGGGCCCTCAGTGCTGACGGACGCAAACCAGGGGCACCAGTGGTCCCAGCCCCCGCCTGTCCATGCAGAAGGGGGGCCTCGCCACCTCCCCTAGAACAAGGCCCACTGGTCTCGGAACTCTGTCCTCAAACAAAGCCGCCAGCCAACCCCAAGCCGAGGCAGGTCCAGGGCAGTAGTGCCCGTTTCTGCAGAGGGCCAGGCGGTGCCCGTGGGCTGTGTGGCCAGGCGGGCTGTCCCCCGCCAGAGCGTGAAGGCAGCCACAGGCAAACTCGTGTCATGGTGTCGGCAGGTACCACGGAACTTTACATGCTGACACTGAAATTTTAATTCATATAATTTTCACATCATAAAATATTATTCTACTTTACTTTTTAAAAATCATTTAAAAATATAAAAACCACCCTTAAGTCATTAGTTTACACGTTGCTTTTGTGAGACAGTGGCAGACTCGAGCAGTTTTGACAGAGACCTTGTGGCTTGAAAAGCCTCAGGTATTTACTCTCTCGTCCTTTATAGTGTGCGGAACCCCCATCCAAACTTCCCTGCTAAGCCCCAGGGCAGGGCCTGGGAGTCCCTTTGGCTGCCTCCAGGGGGCACTGTCGGGCTACCTGAGAGCCATGGCCCCGGTGTGGGGTGTACCCCAAACCTGGCCCCCGGGGACTGCTGGCTGCTTGGGGTACACACCGTTTGGCAGGAAGCGGATCTCATTTTTGTAGAAACTCAGGTTTGGCATGTCACCGTTGCAGTCTGGTTCTACCAAATCCTGAAGACCAGAGAAAGGGCAGTCAGGGACTCACAGAAACAGGCTGCCCCGGGGGGCGCTCAGACCAGCACGTTCTGGGGAGGGGCGTCTCAAACCCCCAGGCCTCCGCACTCTGCAGCCGCCTCTGACCGCGGGCCACCGCCAGTGGTGACCAGGACTGGGAGGTCCCCCTTCCTTGGTACCCCAAAATGAGCACAGGGGTTGAGATCTGGGGTGCAGAGGACAAGGGCCGAGGACAGCCACCACCCCAAGGAGGTCGCTGGGATCAGCTGGCCTTATGGGACGGCTGCTAGCACCTGCCGGGGAGCCCTCCTGTGGGGTCACGGACCACATGCCTGCCTTACGTGGCTGCTGTTCGTTCCCACAGGCTGAGGCTAGGCGCAGAGGCTCCCAGAGCGAGGGCGACACGGCCTCGTGGCTGGGGGAATCTGAACCCACACCTGGCCTGTGCTCTCGAGGGGCTCACCCCAAAGCCCCGATAGGCCCAGGCAGGTTTCTGGTAGGACGTGGGGTGTTCTGTCTGGGAAGAGGCGCTGTGGGGGGGCTGGGGGTTTCCAGGTAGGCTGCCGAGGGGCTGGGGGGCTGCGCAGGGCAGGTACATACCGGGTAGCGGTGCCGGTACCTGCGCATGTCCTGCGCGGCGCGCCAGTTCCGGGACCCTGTCATCCTGGACTGGGAAGAGAAGACACGAGATGAGGACCCCATGGGAAGCCCCCACAGTGAGCACCCCTGGCCGGCATCTTTAAGAGGGTGGGGGTTCTCTGCAGTTCCTCCTCCAGTTCCCCTACCCTGGCCCTTTTGTGGGGGTTGCCAGTCGGCAGACTCGACCCTGGTGAGGCACCCAGACACCCTTGCGGACCCAGAAGGGTCAGGGCAGCCGGGGCGAGGCCTGCCCCAGTCTGGGGAGTCCCAGCTCATGCTTCAGGGCGGCCGCAGGCCCAGGCCACTGCGAGGGCTCCCACGGGGTGTGGCCCTGACTCCCTCCCCCTGGCTTGCTGGCCACCCCAGCTCTGGCCTCAGCCCGGAATGTCCCCCCAGGCACCCCCACGCTCCATGGCACCGCCCCTCACACTGTGAGCAGACTTGTCCCCAGGCTGCCAGCGCCCAAGGGCAGTGGCCTCCCCGCCTCCAGCAGGGTCTGGCCAATGGATGGAGGAAGAGGCCCAGGGAGTGGCCTTTCCCTGCCCCGCCCACACCCCTCACTGGCCAGGGGCCACGGGGAGGCCAGACCCCAGCAAGGCCAGACCCCAAGGCGCCTGGCCTCCAGTCCCATGCGAGTGGCTCCTCAGCAAGATGTCAGGGGCTCCTCGCTGCCCCCAACTCTGTCACCCCATCCGTGGACGCCAGCCACGAAGGGGCCAGGGAAGGCCCAGAGGCGCTCGGCAAGGAGGCTGCTGGGCAAACCCAGCCCGGTGCCCACCTTATTGTGGGGGTGGGGGACACAGCAGCAGTGGATCTGGCTGAAGGGGGGACCTGGGTGTGGCATAAGGGGACAGCTCGTCCATGGAGGTGGCCGGGTCGCAGGATCCAGGAGCTCCAAGGGAGGTCAGGAGGCCAGGCCGGCCACAGCGTGCCTGGCTCTGCCCTGAGCTCCTCTGGGGTGTGGAGCTGCCTCTCTGCCCTGTTTCTAAGCCGGGGCCAGAGGGTGAGGTTCTCCAGCTGGGGGCCAGTGGCGGAAACCAAAACCGAGCAGGAGCTGGCCCCGCCTTCCACCCTTCTACTTCCCCTTCTCCCTGGGGCCAGCGGGGACAGCCCTGGGTCAGTCCGAGAGGAGGCGTCCTGAATGGATGTGCACGCACCTCGGAGCAGGCTCAGCCCCACGTCCTGTGGCCCAGGACAAAGTGAAACGGCCTTGCCAGGGTCCAGCGTGGGGTTCACAGGGGACATGAGGGTGGGGTGGGGGCAGAAGCTGTGGGGGGAGGCAGAAGTGGAGAGGTCAGAGGTCACAGGCACCTCACAGGATGGTTAAGGGGATGGAGCAATGCTCCAGGAGTGGCTCCAGCAACTCCAGCACCTGCCAGAGCCCACCCTGGCCCCAGTCACCCTGGGGGCAGAGCCAGACCCCTGCCCACCTCCAGGCTCGTGACCCTAGCCTCCCAGGCCTGCCTCCATGCACATCAGCGCAGGAAGCACTGCTGCGCTGCAGGTGCTGGGGACAGGCTGGCCCTCCCCTCCCGGGATCCACGACTTGTGCACCCGGCTGCAGCCCTGGCAGCCGGCAGCACAATCGGGCAACGGCAGTAACCTCTGGCAACAAAGTAACCCCTGGCAGCGACAAGTGCCTGCTGGCAACAAAAGTAACCGGTACTGACTGCAGGTGGGCCATGGGGGACTCACCCAAAGGAAGCCCCGGACCACCAGCCAGGATGACGGGTGGGCGCTGCACCCCGTGGGGGTAGGGCCAACCTCATGGGGGGGGCCTGGGGAGGGGGGATCAGGGAGTGGGCGGGGGGATCGGGAGTGGGGCGCGGGGGGATTGGAGTGGGGGCCCGGGGGATCCAGAGTGAGTGCGGGGGGGATCGGGAGTGGAGGCGCGGGGGATCGGGAGTGGGCGTGGGGGATCCGGAGTGGGGCGGCGGGAGGATCCGGAGTGGGCGCGCGGAGGGGATCGGGAGTGGGTGCGGTCGAGGTCCGAGTGGGGGCGACGGGGATCGGGAGTGGGAGCGCGCGGGGGAATCCGGAGTGGGCCGGCGGGGATCGGAGTGGGGGCGCGGGGGGGATCCGGAGTGGGAGTGCGTGGGGGGATCCGGAGTTGGGGGCGCGGGGAGATCGGGGTGGGGGGATCCGGAGTGGGGGCGCGGGGGGATCGGGAGTGGGGGCGCGGGGGCGCTGCAGGGACCGCCACGGCGCTGGCCAAGCAGCGGTGTCGGCAGCGGGAGCGCTGGGGTCCACCTAGACCGCAGTCACCGCGGCTGGAGATGGGCGGACGAGGGGAGGTCGGAGTGTGCCGCGCCACCGCGGAGGAACGTCACCCACGCGCGGACACGTGGGACGGGGCTCGGGTCCCGGGACGCGGCTCTGACGTCAGCCCCGCACGGACCGTCCCGGGACGCGGCTCTGACGTCCGCGAGCACGCGCGGCCCGCCGGCCCGCATTCCCCGCACCCTGGGACGAGGGCTCAGGGGCGGCCCGGGGCTGCAGGCCGCCGGCGAGAGCGCTCCCCCACCCGGCCCCGGCCCGGCCCGCACCTGGAGCACGCCGGGCCGCGCCTGCCCCGCGCCCTCGTCCTCGTCCCCCGCGTCCGCGGCCCCCGCGCTGGCGGCCTCGCCGTCCGCGTCCGCGTCGCCGTCCTCCTCCCAGGTGGAGTCGCAGTCGGGGTCGTCCATGCTCCGCGGCGCCGCGCTCCCGGCGGAAGCGAAAGCGAAAGCGGAAGAGGCGCGGGGCGGGGCGGGAGTGGCTCCAGGCCCCGCCCGCCCCGCCCGCCGGGGGCCCCTCGGGTCCGCACCGCGATGCCCGCCCGAGGGTGCCCGCGGGAGGGTGTCCGCCGGGCCCCCCAGAACGCCCGCCCTCCAGGGTCCCCCAGGCTTCGTCCGCGGGAGGGTGCCCCTAGGAGACCCCTCCGGAAGCTGCTCCCAGACGGCGCCCCCAGAGTGTCTCTGCAGATGACTCCCAGGGTTCCTCTGAAGGGTGTCTCCCAGGGGGGTGCTGCCCCTCGAGAACCCCCCTTCCAGGAATATTTCTTCCCCTCAGGGACGTCTCCCCTAGAGAAGAGCCTCCCCATCAGCAGGTGTCCCCGCCCGGGTGCCCTCAGCGAGCAGGCAGGCGGTCCCATCTTCCCCGGCTGCAGGCTGGGGCTCCCTCTGCGCACAAGGCACTTGGCCTTCTCCAAGCCAGGGGCATGCCAACTTTGGGTGTTCCACCAGTCAAAAGGTGACAAGTTCTGCACTCAAGGGAGAGGACCAGCCCAAGGCTTGAAAACCAGGAGCAGAAATTACTGGGGTCACATTAGGGACTTGCCAGCACTGCCCGACGCTGCTTAAGCGCCTCCTTGGGGGCCTCTCTGGGGGCTGGCCTGGCCGCCTCCTGCACGCACCCTGGCAGGCCCCGGGCCCCGGCACACCCCAGCAGGCTCATGGCTTCCCAGCAGTCTAGCTTCTCTCCGTCCTGCGCTAGCAGTGGCCGTGGGGTCCCCTCATTCCCTGCTCTTCTTTCAGATGCAGGTCGGTTGCCGGTCTGACATCACACGTGGGGCTGCATTCCACAAAGCCCCGGAATAACAGGTACCACACCGAGGCCGGGGGAGGGCAGGCACAGTGTTCCACGTGGCTCCAGGCCACCCGCCTGCACGCATGTGAGTTTGGCCTGGCAGGGCACAAACAGGGCCCCTGCGGGCGAGGAGCCTGGGGGACGCCCTGGCGTCTGAGACCTGTGTCCACTGCCGCTGCTGGTGGGGGGCGTGTGGGCAGCACGGGATGCCGGGGTGGGGGTGCTCATCTGCTGCTGGGCTTGCCCTGGGCCTCCTGTCTCTCCTAGAAATGCAGCAAAATGTTAACATAATTGAAATGAGGCAGATTCAATAACTAGGCTTTTCCAGCACATTCTGAGGCCACTGAAGATGCTTTCCCGGATGAGGGTTTAGAACAGTGAGTGGTGGAGAGCAGGCCCCTCCTGGCTGCCCCATGCCACCAGAGGTGGCCTTACTCGCTCCATTCCACCTGCTAGTTCTGCGTTCTTCAAGGGCCAGGCTTCCCTTGGCCACGACTCCAGGGCGGGCTGGCACCAAGCACTGGGTGGGGCTGACCTCTCAGGAGAGAGCACAGAGGTGGGAGGGACACTCAGCCAAGGAGAGGGGAGTGTCCCCCAACCACAGCCCTGAGTCGGTTCCTAGCTCGTGACAAAGCTCATCTCCTTTGCTTCTCCTGCAGACGGGCGCAGAGCTTGCTACCGGGCCGGGTAGCAGGCTGGGCGCGGTGCCCACGGTGCCGGACAGCAGCGGCTCTCCTGAGGCTTCCCCGCAGAGCGGAGACTCGCCAGCAGCAGGTTGGCCCTGGGCTTTGTGCCTTTGGGGTCACCCAGGTTCCCCTCCGTGTGGCGGGGTGCTGCTGACGAGGCCGTGGACCTGTCTGGGCTCTACGGAAAGAGGACCTGGAGGGGCAGGCAGCTGGTCCACCCTCGGAGCGCGCAGCGGGCGGCGCAAGACACTCTTCCTGTGCCGGGGAAGCCGGCTGCCAGTGGTCAAGGCCACCCCACTGTCCTGCCCTGGAAGTGACAGGGGTCTGGTGCGGGCCAGCCTGGGACCCTGCACGGGGCACTCTCATCACACCGACATCCTGGCTTTGCCGCCTCTGCCAAACGCGTTCCCAGACGGTGGGGAGGCTCCTCGGGCAGAGAGGAATCCGGTGCCACATGGAGTGTCAGGACGAGGGTGCAGGGCGCGAGGGCCGGCCGAGCCAGGTGCATCCTGTCGTCACTCGGAACAGCCAGGTTTCACTCAGCTAAGAACAAGCCAGCCCGCAGCTCATCACGCAGGACACGGCAGGCAGGAAGGAGCCCGCTTAGCGCCAGGGGCCGCCGAGGGCCCACCCTGCACCGCTCCCCTAGCAGGGTTTGTGCTTGACTTCCTCGTCACATCCAGCAAGACAACCACTCCAAGTCTGTCACTGTTTTGTTTACACATCGTATCAGGGAATGTTAATAAATCTAAGCATATACTACGCTTTAGTAATAAATCTTGGGAAAATAAAACTTCCTATTGGAGGAAAACTTATTTTGGTATCAAAACCACACAACTCCAGGTTGATTTTTCTGTGCTTTAATGTTCTGCAAATGAAAGCGTATTTGTCTCCACCAGCTCTGGGGCGCCTTCTCGCCAGCCCAAGGCGGCACCTTCCCCTCCACCCACCCATCTGCCCTGTCCGCTGTCACTAGGTAATACAAAAATAACCGCTACAAATTCTCTGTATCTGGCATATAAAAACTGAGCAAAAAGTATCTCAGTAGTCATTACCTTAAAACAAAACATCTCAGGAAAATACGACACAGGTTAAACTTCTCCAGTATTTTTCTCATATAAAACACTAGTAAAATAGGTTTCTTAAAAATTAAATAGCGAGATACCAACCAAATTATATACATCCTTACAGTACGAGTGAATGAGGCAAAGTATCTGGTTCTGAGTTTCCCGGGTGGGGAGAGAGGCTGTGGCGCGTGCGGTGGCGGGAAGGCCACGCCCTCCTGATGCCGAGTCAGTGCAGACAGGCTCACAGAGGGACAGACAGACGGAAAGGACAATCACGCAGGGAAGACGAGCGTTTCCTTGTGAGGACAGAGTGAGGTCAGTGTTTGTATTGCTTGCTAATCCGGTGGCTTCTCCTGGCTCCACCCCGCTCCTCGCGGCCTGGATCCCGAATGCCGCTGCACACGTGGAGCGGATCTGAGGCCACGGGTGCTCCAGAGGAGACGGGGCGCAGACTCAGGCCCTCAACCGCTGGCCTGGGGAGCCTGGTCTTCTGGGTCCACCAGGCCCCCGCCGGTCTGACCGGAGCCTGGCCCGAGGCCCCTGCTGGGTGGCCACTCCAGGGAAGCCGGTGGCAGTGGGGCGCGCAGCGTCAGGACAGGTCGCTGTGCGCTGGGGGCGGCCCCAGGCCCTGCCTGCATAGGCGTCTATGTTCGGCGCCGCTTGGCGGCACTGGGGCTGGAGGGGTTGCTGTTTGCAGTCAGGACTTTGTCCGTGACCCGGCTGCGCTTCCGCTTGTCTGCCCCTTCTTTGCACCCCGAGTCTGAGGAGTTCTTCTCTTTGTCTTTGCTAGATTTTTCTGCTGCTTTCCCCAAGCTCCCTGAAGATAAAAAAACTGAGAAACAAAATAATTTGGCTGGAAACAGAATATCCAGAAATGAATTTTGTCGTCTTATTCAGTTAAAAAAAATCTGTCCGTTCCCACGTAACGCTCTGAATCCAATCCAGAAAGCGTCCTTGTGAGCGGGCGTCCTGCACCCAGGGGCCTCGGGAGGGGCCTGTGCTCCAGAGGGCCCAGGACCTGCCCTGTGGAGCTGTCCCTCGGCTCCACTTTCTCTTGCTAGACAGGGACGCGGCCAGCGTCTACCCTGCACTGAGATGACCCGCACCACGTCTGACCTCAACTGGACCCCACTGCACCCGGCCAGGGTGGCCGTGGGTGCCACACCCCGCAGGGCACCAGGGAGGGCGGTGCCACACTCACCATCATCAGCCCCGCTGTGGGGGTCCACGTCTTCCTTCATCTCCTCTTTCATTTCTTCCTCAATAATCACTTTTCCTGTGGAGAAGCTGACGATCACCGAAAGCCCACGGCGGTGGCCGACACCTGGGGACACCAGCTGCCCACGGGCCTCACCTTCTGCCCAGCAGCTGCTCTTGAACGACGTCCTTTCCAATCCCGGAGGCTCCCGACACCGCGTGGGTGGAGGTGGGGTCTGTGTTGGACCCTCACACCTCCCGGAGGCCATGACCTTCACCCTGACCTCCCCACCCTTTGCCCAGGTGCAGCCTTTTCTAATTCCCAACCCTGACCTTTCTAGGGCCTGGGCCTCACCTTCTCGGACCTCTTGGATGATCTCTTCTGGAAGGACGAAGTTCCTCTCTGGGTTTGGGAAAGGGAGAATCTCGGACTCATGCTGCCGTTGAGTAGAGGGTTTTGTTTTTTTAAGAAACAAAGAAGAAAATGAGGTTTCAGCAAGTCAGTGAAGCTGTGTGAGAGCCCTTTTAGGAGGAGCCGATGTGGGCTCAGAGCTGCACTCGGGGCTGGGGCATGAGGTGAAGACCGTCCCTCCTGCGGGCAAGACTGACCACAGGCGGAGACCCACAGAGGGCACCTCCAGTTGAAGCAGCCGCAGGAGTCAGGAGAGGAGAAAGAGCCGGGGCCGCTACTCTGGTCGAAAGCCTAGGGGTCCCCTGCAGCTCCCTGAGTATCACTCAGGCCACCAGGCTCCTCTGAGCCAGGCCCTGTGCCCCAGAAGAACGTCTCAGGCCTCAGAGTGATGTCTTCTCGAAAGACAGGCACAGTGCTCACTGATTGCTCTGCATCCCGAGTGGGGAGTGTCTGGGGACCAGGGCCCTCCACCTGGTAGGGCCCACAACATGATGAGGCAAGCTGCTGGCCCCAGGGAGTTCGGAGGGTGGTGACAGGGAGCAGGGCCTGACCGACGCACTCCCAACACAGGCAGGAGCAGCTGCTCCAGGGAGGACCCTACTGAGTTTGGCAGTCAGCACAGCTGGGCCACCAGGGGCTGGCCACCGGTGCAGATTCTGCACTGGGCTCAGAATGTGCTCAATGTGGGCAGCACGCGCCGCTCACTTCTAGGACACACCTGCGTCTGGGCAGCCCTCTGGCCCAGCTGGCTTCTTGGACCCCTTTCTACAGCTGCACAAAGGGGACACCTGGGATGTGTGCAGGTCAACACAAGCACTCTCTGCCTCAGTGGCACGCTCGAGGTCTGGCCAGGAGGGTTGGCGAGGCCCTGAGACCAAGAGGGAGGCACGGACTCTGCTCTCCACCAGCGCAGGGCCCCACCCACTTTCCAGGTGCCTCACCCTGGAGCTCCTGGACCCACCACCCCCTGCTGCCACAGGGCTCTGACCCCTGTCTCTTCCGGCCACCCCGCTTACCTAGTTAACCTGCTGACCTATCAGACACCACCCACTCTGAGGTCCATGAGAATGGGACTCTACTTGACTCGTTCTCAAGAAGCTGCCAAATTTGCCTTAATGTGACTTACATGAGGTCACCCTCTGCTAAAGCTCTTCTGAGGCCTCCCAGAAGACGGACAATGGCCTAAGGGCCTGGACTCTGCATTCTCCCCTGCCACCACCTGTCTCGAGCACGCACCTTCCCAGGGTCTCCACACCCATTATCTTGCTGACCACCTGCTCTAACGTAGGTTCCCTGGACAGGTAACCAGCCACCGGCACCAGGGCTGTTTTCTTAACACTCTTCAGAGCCTCTTGCTAAGTGACCTGTCCTCCCAGGATGTCACACTCCCTGAGGAAGGGTCTCATCTGTCAGTGCTACCTGCCACTCTGCCCAGCAGACTCCCAGGAGGCATGGGTGGGCACTCCGCCACCTGCTCAGGCTGACCTTCATAGAGCAGGGTGTGGGCTGTCCCCCCACTGACCCCCAACACTGGGGAGGGCTGGGGTCCAGCTCACCAGTGCCTGCATGTCATACATAGTGCTCAGATGGTCCCAGATGACCTTGGATGGGACCTGCCGTCCGATGTTCTGGCTGAACTTGTCCCGGATACAAATCATGTGGAAGTGTCGGTTCACACCTGTTGGGGGGGGCAGGACAGTACGTAAGGGGGGAAGGAAAGGGGGCAGGATGACCAGTGGTCTGCACTGGGGATTGAGCAGGCAGGGGTAGGCGAAGGGGGATCTGCCAGGGTAGAAGGAGGAGGGGACAGAGGTGTCGGGTAGAGGTGTAAAACGGAGCTGTTGGAGGGAACTAGGGTAGAGGTGTGGGCGTTACAGGAAGGGGCAAGGGTGTCATGGGGAAGGGGTCCATGTAGGGGCAGGTATCAGAATGCTGTGAGAGGTGGAGGTCAACCCCAGCATGCAGGAAGGCAGGGGTCAGTCAGCTTGGTGTATGGGACTTGGGAACAGCTGGGGTGTTGTGGGGTCTGCCCCAGGTGTGGAGCTGGGTGTCACAGAGGGTCTGCCCTGGGTGCGGGAGCAGGCAGAGGTCCTGGGGGCAGGGGTCCGCCCAGAGTGCGGGAGGCGCGGGGGTCCCAGGGGCAAGAGGGTCTGCCCCGGGTGCGGGGAAGGTTGGGGGGTCCTGCCTGGGGTGTGGGAGGGGCTGGGATTCCAGGGGTCAGGGGTCCGCCCAGAGTGCGGGAGGGGCAGGGTCCCAGGCGGTAGGGGTCTGCCCCGGGTGCGGGGAAGGTTGGGGGGTCCTGCCCGGGGTGTGGGAGGGGCTGGGGTTCCAGGGGGCGGGGGTCCGCCCAGAGTGCGGGAGGGGCAGGGTCCCAGGCGGTAGGGGTCTGCCCGGGTGCGGGAGGGGGCAAGGGTCTACCCAGAGTGCGGGAGGGTAGGGGTCCCAGGGGGCGGGGGGCGGCCCGGGGTGCGGGAGGGTCGGATGCCGCAGGGGGCGGGGCGTCCGGCGCAGGCCCCGCCCCTCCCGCCGACGGTTACCCGCGGTCCGCCCCGCCCCCACGCGCGTCCGCGGCCTGGGCGCTCACCGACGGGCTTGTGGCCGAGCATGGCGTGGAAGAGGCACACCTCCACCTCGGGGCTCCACACCACCGTCTCCTCCGCTGGGCTGGTGGCCGCCTCTCCCGGGCCCTTGTCGCCCGCGGCGCCCCCGCCGCCCACCTCGGCCTCCCCCATGGCCGCGGCCCGGCGAGCGACGAGCCCCCGGCGGGAGCAGGCGCGGCCACGGGGTCCGCGCAGGCGCAATCGGGGGCGGGCGCGCGCTCGGCCGCGCTCGCGCTCAGGCATAGGCACCGGTGTCGGCGCAGGCGCATTTGAGGGTGCGGGCTCCGGCGCGCGCCCGCAGCGCCCCCTGGCGGCAGAGTCCCGCCGTGCAGCGCAGTCCGGCCGCCCGCGCCGCCGACTCCCCTCCTGCCCTCGCGGGAGCGCGCCGCCGACCCTCGCCGCCTGCCCTCGCGGGAGCGCGCCGGGGCGCTTACCCAGTGTGCAGAGCCCGCGGGAAAGAGAGCTCCGCTTGAAAGAAAACGTTCTGCACCGTCGGAAATTGACGGGACGCCCAGAACGGGGGTGCTGCACCACTGGCCGTCCAGGCACCTCGCGTCCGGGAGTGAAAACGCAAACGGTCGGGTCAGGGGTGGGGGTCAGACGCGCGACCCTCGGGGACGCGGTGCCACCGGGACGGGGACGCGCTCGCGCCCAGCCGTCGGGGCTCCGCGCAGCCGCCGCCCGCACCCGGGACGGCCGGGGGCGCAGACGGCGCCTGCTCCGGCAAACCGCGGGTCCCTGAGCGACGGCGGAGGCACCGGGACCCGCCGCCGGCCCAGGGGACCCGGCGTGCGCGGCGCCACCGCCACTGCAGCGACCGGGCGACCTCACACCGGACGGCGGGCCGACGCCGGGTCGCAGGTGTGGCCCGTGCGCGCGGGGACGCTCGGCCTTGGGGACGCTCGGCCTTGGGGGGACGCTCAGAATTGGGGGACGCTCGGCCTTGGGGACGCTCGGCCTTGGGGACGCTCGGCCTTGGGGAGACGCTCAGAATTGGGGGACGCTCGGCCTGGGGGATGCTCGGCCTGGGGGACGCTCGGCCTGGGGGGTCGCTCGGCCTGGGGGGGGACGCTCGCTTCGGGGGGAGCTCGGCTGGGGGGACGCTTCGGCCTGGGGGGTCGCTCGCCTGGGGGGGGACGCTCGGCCTTGTGGGGCTACACGCTCAGCCTGGGGGGGGACGCTCGGCTGGGGGGACGCTTGGCTTGGGGGGATGCTCGGCCTTGGGGGATGCCTCGGCCCTGGGGACATTCGGGCCTGGGGGGGCAATGCTCGCCTGGGGGAGCTGGCCTGGGGGGGGACGCTCGCCTGGGGGGGACACTCGCCTGGGGGGGACGCTCGGCCTGGGGGGACACTCGGCTGGGGGGACGCTCGTCTGGGGGGGACACTCGGCCTGGGGGGGACACGCTCGGCCTGGGGGGGAACACTCGCCTGGGGGGAGAACCGCTCGGCCTGGGGACGCTCGGCCCTGGGGGGGGACACTCGCTGGGGGGGATGCTCGCTACGGGGAGACACTCGGCCTGGGGGGGACGCTCGGCCTGGGGGGGATGCTCGGCCTGGGGGACACTCGGCCTTGGGGGGACGCTCGGCCTGGGGGACATTCGGCCTGGGGGGGACACTCGGCCTGGGGGACACTCGGCCTTGGGGGACGCTCGGCCTGGGGGACACTGGCTTGGGGGACACGTCGGCTGGGGGGGACAGCTCGGCCTGGCGGGACAACTCGCCTTGGGGGGACGCTCGGCCTGGGGGGGATGCTCGGCCTGGGGGACACTCAGCCTGGGGGACACTGGGCCTGGGGGGCACGCTCGGCCTGGGGGACGCTCGGTCTTGGGGGACGCTCGGCCTGGGGGACACTGGGCCTGGGGGGCACGCTCGGCCTGGGGGACGCTCGGTCTTGGGGGACGCTCGGCCTGGGGGACGCTCGGACTGGGGGACGCTCGGCCTTGGGGGATGCGCTGGACCCCCACGCTGGGCCGGAGGTCGCGGACACACCGCGACCCGCACGGACGGGCGAAGCTGCGGCGGCAGATCAGGGAGGGGCGCGGATGGGGACGCGACCCGGCGCCGCCGACGGGCGCGGGTCTCCCGCGGTGACGGAAACGCTGTGGGGTCGCGGCCCTGGCACCCGCGAGGCGTGTAAGTGACATCGCAGTAGCAGACAAAACCGGGGACCGACAGGTCCCGCGGGCGCAGGGCTCTACCCGGCTGCCCCGGCGGCCCAGACCGCGCGTCTCCCGCCCGCCGGCCTCGCAGTCACCGCGGGCGCACAGCCCTGGGCGGGGCCTGTGCCTGGAGGGCGGGGCCTAAGCGGGACCTGGGCGGGGCCAGAAAGCAGCTCCAAGACTAGTCAAGACGGCATCCAATCAAGGCCGCTGGATTCGCCCCGCCCCTTTCCTCGGCCACGCCTACCGCGGGCCTCCAGACGGACTCCCCGCCAGGCCTTTCTTAGCCTCTGCGGGTGTAGACACGGGCCGTGGTCGGGCTTCCGGGATCCCTACCCGGCTGTCGCAGCTGTGTGGCCTCCGCGCAGGGGCGACAACGGCCATTCCCCCGGGGTCGCGGTGCGGGTGGCTGTGCTGCCTGGGCTTCCCAGGAGCCGGCCAGAGCTGGCGCGGGTGCCGCTGCCCTCCCGGCGGGTGCTGTGCTGGTCAGCCTCGCCACGGGGACAGCACGTGGGCTGAGCTGGCCCGGATGTCTGGGCCTGGGCCTGGGCTTCCCCACCTGGGAAAGGGGGCTGCTGGCCAGGAGGTCCCCAAATGCCGTCCTCCATATGTGGCCCGGGGGCTGCCCAGGCGGCTTCCCAGGGGGCCCAGGGCCACCAGCTGTCCGTGGAGCCGCCACGTGGCTCGACGCTGGACCGAGCCAGGCCTGTGCTCCCTCCTCTGCCTGACCCACAGGTGGTGCCTGCCTCAGCCGGTGGCTCCAGGGCACGATGACACCCACAAACACGTAGCCCGGGGTGGGTTCCACAGTAAGTGCTCTAGATGACAGCCCTCACCATCACGCATCTCCTCAATGTTCCCTGGACACCTTGGGGTCCCCCACCCCATTCCCACTGGATGGAACTCTTCTTCCATCCGGAGAACCTGCTTGCCCTCTCTGCGCCTCTCTCCTGGCTGCCTCTTCTGCCCTGGCTGGGGGCCTCGTGCCTCTGCTCGCTCTCCCCACTGCTCTGAGGCGCCCCGAGTGTGGGCTGGTCCTGTCCCTGCTGCTGGCGTGGGCCACGTGGCCGCTGCGCCTGAACCCTGCTCCCCCAGCCCTGCGTGCACCCGTGCCTGGTTCCTGGCCTCACAGACGGATTCTGGAACATTTGCCTGGTCGTCAGACAGCCTGGACGATGTGGCACAAGGAAACCTTCTCTGTCTTTCTTAGTCCTCTTGCCTCTCCTAGCCCCAGGTCTCCCCAGCCCACGGAGGGGGGCTTTTCAAATGCAACCGGTGCCTAATGAATGTGCCTAGTTATCCCCACCCTCCTCTTCCTGTTGGGGAAGATTAACGTGATCAAGGTTCCGGTCTAATTACTTCCCTCTCACAAAGAAGCCTGTGGTCGGAGAGAAATTATAAGGTGGGTTGGAGAGGACTCGCTGACCGAAGGCCCCCCCCCTCCGCAAGGAGGGTCCTGGGCGCTGCGCAGGCTTGTGGGAGCCACGTTGAGCGGCAGGGGGCGCCTCCCACCCACCTTTTGGACCCAAACCGGTCAGTCCCTGGTCCTGAAACCTGCCGGCAGGAAGCAAGTGAAGCAACTGCAAAGGCAGTTCCCTCTGGGAGCCCGGCCCACCCCAGGGAGCCGTCCTTGGCATTTTTTTTATTGGCCAGTGTACTTTATTTCTTTTTTAGCATATTATGGGGGTACAAGCATGAAGGTTACGTATATTGCCCATGGCACCCCCCACCTTGGCATTTTGAAAAGAAAGTCTGTTTTCTCATTGGGGTTGGGGGGTTGTGTGAAGAATCCCTGTGACCAGCGAAAAGCAGGTGGGACATGGCTTGGGGTCAGCTCCGTTGACCCCACAGCACCTGCCCTGGCGCTGCTGTTGGTCCTGTCCCCACCCTGTCCCGCACGGCTGGGTCGCTGGCCAGAGAAGGCGGGAGGATGCAGAAAGCTGGACCGGCTGCTGGTCACTTGCGACTGGCTGTGGAGGTTGTGGCTCCTTTTAAGGGCTGTCAGATTGAGTATACAAAACCACAGGGTGCCCCGTTCAATTTGAATTTCAGATACTACACATTGTTCGTCGTTGATCTGAAATTCCAATGGAACCGGGCGCCCCATATTTTACCTGATGTTTTTTTTGCCTGGATTTCCTCCTGGTCAGCAGCTTCTTTGACTTGAAACAAGGGAATGTCCATCTGCCAACTGTCCAAGCGTCACATCTGCCCGAGTGTGACCCGTGTGAGTGAGGGACAGGGTGGCCCTGTCCCCTGGGTGCCCGTTAGGGTTTGTGGAGGGAGGGACTCAGGCAGTGATGGCCCCGAGGGACCCCAGGCCCTGGCTCTCCAGGTGCTGCCTCTGCGGGCACAGGGGGTTCCCAGGTGAGGTGCGTGGGAATCTATTCCTCCACCCTGTGAAATCCTTTCTCGTGTCACCACAAGAAGCCTGCTGACCTGGCACCCTTGTCCACAGGTGCAGCTCACGTCATCGGGGCCTGGAAGAGGAGGAGGGTTTAAGTTCTGGCTGACCTGGTACTCGGGGTGCAGCCCCCCACATCAGCAACTTCAGCATCACCCAGGAACTTGCCAGAAATACACACGCACGGGTACAACACATACATATCACACGCATGTGCATGACACATATATGTGCGGTTCCACAACACTGCTGGAGTCAGACGGTCTGGGGCGGGGCCGAGGGCCACGGTGGGGGATGCGGCCGGGGGTGCTCAGGCTGCTTCAAGTCTGGGCTGGGGGGACCGGCTGAGCTGCCTTTTATTGTCTTTGGATTTTCCGATCTTGTGGGAAACGTGAGCCTCACGTTTACCGCCTGTCATGGGCTGTGACAGTCCTCAGCCACTGTCATCAAGCACCAGACCTTCCTGGAAAGACCTTCGTGCAGTTGGCGAATGGTGACTTCGAGAGCCAAGTGGCCCGCCCGAGTCCTGACCACCCAGCGGAGACCTGACGGCACGGCCAAGCAGTGGGGAAATGGGAAGTGTCTCTGGTCCCTGTGCCAGGGGCCGTATCCGCTCTTCACGAGCACTAACTCG